TTAGTCCCATCAAAAAAGTCATCATCATATGATGCTCTTTTTGGTCATACTTAAGTTGATAAGAAAAAAATTAAAAAATATTCACTTGCGATACGAGGGTAAATAATAAAATTGTCAATTTCAGAATGCCGCTATATTTTCTTAGCTAAAAGAGATCCAGAAAAATGTTTATTACAAAAGTTTCTTTGTAATGATTGTTAAACAATCCCCCGTTTTCTAAATAAGCATAAGGGGTCATTTGTTTAAATGAATCACCCTATATATTTTAGTTTAAAAAGTTAAACTATTAAATTCTCTCTTAAAAAAATATATCACACCATGGATAATTCTAAAAAAAGATTCAAGTGAATCAGCAAGGGATTTAACAAAATTCAAAAAACGTCCCAAATTTTTAGATTTTCAAAAAAAAATTTAAATCTTTTTGCATCAATATATTGCATTTTTTCAGTATCGTATTTTTGAAAAAAGAATCTTTTAGATTAAAATATGCCTTTTCCATTTAAAAAAATGAGGTTAGGTCCAATAACATGCTTTTTGAGGCAACTTTTGTGTCATCCCTGACTTGCAGTAAAGCACATGATTTATCTTCGAATCTCCCATTAGTTACCTACCCGCAATTTAATTGTAGGTATACGTTTTTTTAAATTTTTAAATTAAACTTTAAAATAAACAAAATGACGTTCACAGAAGGACAAGAAATCGTCATTGATTACAGCGTTACCTGTGATGCAAGCTGTGATGTATCTACGCAGACCGGTTCCGGGTAGTTTGACGGGACCGTTTTTGGCGCAGACAGTTTGTCACCGGAAACGTACCTATACACATTGAGGACCTTAATCGATATTTGAAAAATGAAAAATAGAAATATTTATCAGAAGCCATTGTGGTAATTACGAAGACGTTCCGGCTCCAAGATATGCCTGAGCCAAAGTATCCCGATGTCTAGGTACCAAGAAAGTGTCCACGCCATACACTTTTTACCTACGTACCTACTTTTCTGTGGTTCAATGTTAGGGTGACTTAAAAAGTGTCGTGTGGCGAATTGTTTGATATTAAAACGCCACCTACAGCTACTGAATTCTTTCCTATCAACGTAACTGTAGCAATGAGTCACTTTTTATTTTTGTTTCAGTAGGTATCTCCGTTTGCCATTACAGGATCCGAGCAATTAGACGGTCCAAAAAAAATTTCAAAAATGCATCTCTCAGAAATAAATACATAAACATCAATATTATCACAATAATAGCAACAATAAATATTGAAATAGGTTATATCAAATAAACAACATTTACATAATCATAAAATCAAAAACAAAAATGTAAAATTTGAATACATGAAAGACACCTATACGAATAAAAACCCTGGAATTTCATTTCAATAAGAAAAAAAATTCGTTAAGTCGCTTGTCAGCAAAGGCGAAGAGTGCACTTTCAAATTAGTTTTTTCGATGTCCCTTATGGACATTTCATGCCTTAACAAGAATACAAACATGAAAAATGTGACTCAGACAGACAGACAGACAGATGTCTATCAAGAGCGAAAAAGTGCACTTTTTATTTTTTTAAAGTGAAAGTGCACTAAAAAGCATACGATAATGTGAGAATCTGTAGATATTGTTCTGTAAACTACGTCAGGCGGACGTTTTATTTGGCTGCGGCATCTGCAGTCATGAGGGGTCACTCTGTATGTGTATTTCAATTATTTTAAAGTGTAAAATGTGGTCGTATTTTTTTTGGTTAAACGCAAATCCGATCGTAATTATTTCAATTCAAAGTCAATTTTATTTTGTATCGGAATTATATGTGGTTAGTTTTGTTTAAATAATGCTGTTCATTTTGTTTATTAATTTGTAGATAAAGTGATAAAAGTGAAAAAAATAGGTCAAAGAAATCAAAGGGATGAAAGAGATTAAAGGAATTAAATGGTTCAAAAAGATTAAATGGCTAAAAGTGATCATAAGGGGCAAGGGAAAGGATCAAAACGGCAAAAGCGGTCTCAAAGGATCAAATGGGTCAAAAGAGTCAAAAGAGGGATCTAAAGGATCATAAGAATCAAAGTGGTCAAAGTCAAAGACATCACAGTGATCAACGGGCAAAGGGGTCAAAGGTTCAAAGAGTTCAGAAGAAATAAAAGAATCTAAAAGATCAAAGAGAACAAAGGAATCAGATGGATCAAGCGATCAAAATGATAGTTTCATTTTACCTAACAACAGTCCATAATCAAAGGAATCAAAGTGATCAAAATGGTTAAACGAACATTATCCCAAAGGGATCATACGAATCGTCAAAGGAATCACAGGCATTATAAAGGATCCAAATGGGCAAAGAGCCTCAAACGAATCAAGGATCAATGAGATTAAAGTGTAGGTACAGTTGCTTTGATCACATCCTTCAGCAAACACATGACCAAGCCACATTCTTTTCCTTGTCAAAATTTTTTTATACAAATATCTTTCTTTTCGTATTCTTTCTAGTAGGTACTTACCAGTTCGAATCCTGTCAGACCTACACTTAATTCCAAGCATTCTTCTCCACATCCACGTTCCATAGCTTCAGTCCTTTTCTTATATTTTTTTAAAAATTGTCCACGTTTCACATCCGCACAGCGTAACATACATCTGCGCAGCATTCAACTTTTCGTGACAAATGCTTCTTGTACCAGTCCAATGCGCGTGTTTATTTTTTTTCAGCTTGTCCAATGATGTTACAGTCGTTTCTAGATATTTACACCTTTCTACCTGTTCCAGCATTGCATCTTACACATACACTTGCATTTCTTATACGCCTCTCCAATTCTGATTACCTAACTTAGTATAGTTGCAAACAATTGGTGATGATTCTACACAAAGCGCGTTTGTAAACCAAGTGTCCTGTAAATATCAAACCAAACTACCAGCAGCACGTACAGAAATCTTACCAAAAAAGGGTTAAAAGTGATAGAGCAAATGTATCACATGTTTCATGAGGAACATCTATAAACTTCGCTCTTTTAGACTTCTAGCTACAGTATAGTTTTTTCCTTTGTGCATTGCTTTATATGTTTATTTTAGAAGTCTAATAAACGGCATTTATTATTATTATTAAATACACGCAATAAGAAAAGCTCAAAAATCTCAATAACGCTATAAATATTTACAAAGTTTAATGTAAACAAACACAAGGATGAATAGGAGAAATATGGAACCTAAAAAGAGATTTCCTCGGGGATTCCTAATTAAAACAGAGCCGAATTAAAATGGATTTGTCTATCGCATCCCAATTAAGAGTCCGTGCGCCGATAATGAGCGGCTCATGCTCATGGTTAATTATATACCTACCTAACATGGAAAAACAAAATCAAAATCATTAAATTGGAAATTGTGAATATAATCATGGGTGTAAGCTACTGTATGTCAATTTCAATCAAATAATAATCGCTGAAGACTTACAGGTACCCGATTTTCTGAGACCGACGCTTCAAGTTCTCTATACCTCTCCCTCTTTCTTACTGTATCTAATGTCATATTTTTTTATTCAGGTCATGCTTGTAACACGTGTCCCAACTCCCTCTAATTAACATTTCTTCTCTTTAGTACCTATATGTGGGGTCTGGTTGTGTGATAATCGATTTTATCATAACGGCCGCTTGCCTCCTCACCTCCACTTTTCGTGTTAAATTAATGGTAGCCTATGCTGGATTAGAGCCATGCCATTTTGATGTGTTTTTATATGGTACATGCAATCATTGATGCGAGTGAAAAATCTGACTTCGTTATTCAATGATGCAATTTATCATTTTACCAGTTTGTCTAAATTGAACCGTAGATGTATTTTTATACTAAAATGCTTGCTTTCCCTTGTAACGGGCGTTATCAAAAATGAGTTTGCTGTCGAGTCGCCTTGGACGTTCAAGTTAAGTACGTATTCCAACGTAAACAAAAATTCCAAAAAGTGACTCGACAGCAACTCATTTTTGATCGCATAGTATTTCCCATGTGACTTTGTATCTCGTTTTTATTAATTTGTTTTAGCGCATTTGACTGCATACGGGATACCTGATTTTTATTGTACAATGTCTGATTTGTGTATTTCTCTTGCATTTTGTTGTCTTAATTGATTTATTTCTTGTATTTGGGTTTTTTGTCCAATGATGATTTTTCCCTGGCCTTTTCGTGTGCTTATTGGCTATAATATAATATTTCATTTTTCTTGTCTTACGTCCCAACGCATAAAACACCGACATTTGTATACAGTACCACCCAATTCGAACCGATTACCATTGAGATTTGAAAGTGCCCAAAACGTTCGAGATTACGAAATGGCGGCTAGATGACTGCAGTTGCAGAGTTGCCAACTGTAAGTACAGGATAAGTCGAAATTACAGTGCCCGATCGGGGGGATTCTAAGATCATCATGGCTTTCTATGTTCCTTCTACGCTTTTGGCAATGGGGAAAATACATAAATATGTAGGTACATTAATTAATAAATCGCATTATTCATTGCGTGTCAAACGTGGACTTGATGATGTCTTGTGGGAGGGGGCTACGAGGAGTTTAAATGCTATGGATATTGATGTAAGAGAACATAGCTCAAAGAAATTAATTCGAAAATTATCTATACAAGGTGATGGCTATAACAATGCCCACGATAACATCTCTATTTGTTATTATTTCAGACTTCGCACATAGGTAATATGTGGCACAAAATTTTACACGAAGATATCGGAATGTTTTAATGTAGTTTTGAAGACGAAGCATGGATTCATTTAAGAGAATAGGTTAATAGTTGAAACTATTACACATGAACAACTGAAAAGAACTTGACGTCAGACTTAAAATTTAAAACTAGCATCTTGTAGACACTGCCTGATTAGGTTCAAAACGAGTAACGACTTTCCAGATTAAGTTCGTCGTGTATTATTGTTGTAATCTAATTGAGTCTCTATCATTCTATCACATTAACTATCTGCTTTTATCATCTTCACCATCTTTTAGCCATTTTGTTTACCTAAGACACAACAATTTAATTTTAAGGCATCAATTGTTTTATTTTTTATAAAAAATATTTTTTACAAGGAATTGACTAAGTCAACGATATAAATAAACAGTAGGAGTAACAAGATTAACTATCAAATAGTTCAATAAATAGCGAACGGTACCCACTTATACTACAGAGAAAAATCAGACTATTCATAAATATTACAGCTTTCAGTTATACTTCGACTACAAAAATATTATCGGAATAAATACAAAATATTCTTAACGAGAAGAAAACCTTCAGTCGCGTTGTAATAAAAAAAATGCCATTCAATAACTTATTCTAAACAGCAGGTACCAAAAGATAAACATGTTTTTCGGTCTAAAATTATACAAAAATCACATTTTCTTATCAATAGTCGGGTATTGCAAAGTGAGTTAGTTACGTGGTATGTTCAGAGTAAAGGTGGAACACCTTCAAAAGAAAGCATATTAGCAGATTCCAATTTACACAATATCTAACTAAAAAGCGCCTATTGTAAATCGACATTAAAACTTTCAAGCTGATATATTTCAACTGTTCCCAAACCCTGTTCTACAACAGCAAACAGTGATTTAATTGACAATTAACTAAACGTGTTATTTGTACTAATTGTACCCTTGGAATTGCAAAAATTGAAGTTTGTTTTGCAGTGAAAATAGAGGGTGTTGGAAAACAATCATCGTCAATATGATTATAAAAATATTAAAAAGACTTAAAATTAACCGACAGTGTTAGGATATAAGAAAATATTTAACAAATAACTATTTTGCAATTATTTCTAAACGTTTATCAATAAAAACTTTTGTTAACAGTCACAGTTTACGTCATAACGTGTGCCTATGTACAAGCATATTAACTTTATTTTTTCCGTGTCTGTTATAATTAAAATTATACTTACAACCTTTCTCAAAGTTACTAAAATTAACATTTTTCTTTAATACCTCATTGGCTATAATCACATTTTTATCTTCAACAACTGGATCACTACATTGTATTTTATACTGACAGTTAAAAAAGGGAACGGCGGAATTAGATTTTTCGTTGTGAATCTCCGCTTGTATTAAATGAACATTTGTCTTTTTAGTTTCTTGATTGTGTAAAAGATTGTTACTAGCTTCCGCACTCCTCCAATGAACGCTATTAACTTCACCAGTTGGTCCTGTACTCGAGATCGTATTGATTACGTAACTTTTACTAACATCACAAGTAGTTTTGGAAGTCGTCGGATTGAAATGATGCATTTTATGGGGGTATCTGCAATATTTATCTACTTGGTTTGCCTGTATCATACTTAAGTTATTTTGTGTATCATCGTGAGTCCACACCATGGCTACTCAATCCCCCCGGTGAGGTCGCATCCTTTGAGGTTCATCATGTTGTTTGTACACGTAAACCTGTATCAAAATTAAAACGTCGACCGCAACCTGTATCGATCCGCAAACCCAAAACTGCAACGGCGCCTCGCGAAATAAAAAATACAAAGTTTTAAATATGTCGCCGCACGTCCACATTATCACCATACTGATGCTAAAACAACTTTTGTACATGTTATTCGAGCAATTGAGAACCAACCTCATGCCTTCCGTCGATTTGTGCTGGAAATTTTTTACAAGTTGTGGAGTACCGAGCATGGCCTCGGTGAACACAGCCAAAAATCCGACGAGTTCGACGAAATACGATTGATCGATAAGCAGATACATTAGAAGTGACGTTAGGATAGTAAATACCAGCATGCAGTCGAGGTACGATTGGAAATCCGACCAGTTCCAAAAGAATTTTGGATCAAAGTCTAAAATTCATTCAAAAAATTGGAAACGCGCTTTAATCGCTTTGATCTTCATGCACTACTTCCGATTAGGTTTAACATTTAGCTGACTGAAATTACAAGCAAAAACACTATCATCAGCAAAGCAGGATATTTGTAATAATTTTACATAATGGCACCAACACCGAGTTGAATTCTATAAAGACATATCAAAAATAAAGCATGCAGTGTTATTCCCGACATAATCTAAAATGCGTCCAGAAAACATCTCTCGAATGACTGGAATTTCAAGATCAGAATCATTGGCAAAAGTCACTGCATGTTTTATTTAAATGAAAGATGAAGCTTATACAATTGGTTTAAAAAGTTAAAAAGGAAACATGTGTGTGCATGTGCATATTAGACAGCGCTAGATTAAAGCAAAATCGCACCTCTCTCCAACTCCTACATTTTACAGAAGAATACTTCAGTGAAAATGCTACTGAAAAAACTTAATAATTAGTGCTCCTTTTAAAATGCGTTCCTGGGATAGTTTTCCAAGTGACTTCAATGTTGTTGTACAATGCTGAAGATGGTTATCTTACATAAGGTGCCCTACGACGAATGTCGACCATCTATATCTCGACAAGGAGACCTTCAAATATTTTGAAAATTTGGCAGTATCCTAAGGTCGATACGAGATATTCATCTAAAATATAGGGCGATTCAAAAAGAATACCGCAACTTTGAAAATCTGTAATGAATTAAAGAATCAAAATAGAACCATGGGTTATAAATCAAAATGAACAGGTTTTTTTTCCACTAGGAAATAAGTTTACAGATGTTCAATACGGCCTCCTCCAGACACTTGACCGATATCAAAACGATAAGTATATACGTGGGCGAGTGTCCTGAACTCTGTACAACACCCCTTCTCAATGAACTGTTTATACCAACGTTTAATATACCACCTATCAGTAGGTTGCACGCTAAACAACTGTCGTCAATTGATTTCTGATGCAAAATGCTTTATGTGTAGCGGTCGCCATTTTGGCATGTCAACACCAATCACTTTGACGACAGCGGACAAATAAAAAACTAAGGAACTTCAAAAATTCCCATCGATTTTTAAAGTTGTGATATTCTTTTTGAATCAACCTGTATTTAGAAGTTTGTGGGGAGTTCTGGTTATACCAATGGAACGCCCTATATGTTATTTCATTTTTAGATTCCATATAAAATTCTATATACACTTCAGATACATATAATGTATACGTAAATTTAACAGTTTTTGCCAAATTTTTGTGCGAGGGTGTCATGGCGGCGAAAATAACACGAGCACCAAAGAAATGACGGGTTATGGCCAACTAACAACAATTCATAAAACAACATGTGTGCCAAAAAGTTATTTACAGACAAATTTTTAATTATAAAAAATAGGGCGCATTGTCTCAAAATCTACTCGAGGGGATGGATTCTATGAGCTTCCTTAATATTTTGACCATGCTTTAATGTCATTTTGTTTGTTTGTATTTTGATTTTTGACACAATTTCTACATAAATTGTTCCTTCTAGAAATGTAGATATTATCAGCGGAGGTTATATGTTTTGTTCTACAGAGTGGTTCACCGTCATGTTTCACCATTGCGATCTCCGTAAGGATCTCACCCTTCTTTTTTTGTCCTCTTCACATTCCTTAAAAATCCAATATGGCGGTCTGATAACAGATCCAAAACGTCCGTTTTCGACCGTTTAAGCTAGGGAAAATGAAATCGAAATTTGACGTTTTCAGTTATATAGGGTTATCATAAAATAAGGGATATATTTTAAATTATTATAATTTTTTAACAAATTAAGTTAATAACAAGAAATAAATGAAATCTAATTGCTTAAGAAATGGGATTTAGTATGCCCAAAACCAGTTACGGCAATTGCTCAATATGACCTCCATTTTGCTGTTGTAAGATTACCAACCTTTCCCCGAAATTGTACACAGCATTCCGTAACATTTTTATGAAAGACCTCTGCAACTTGGACATCACTAATTCTTGGTCTTCCTGATCTTGGTAGGTCAATTACAGACCCTGGTCTTTCAAATTTTTGTATCAAATTGCGGTACGCTTTCATTTGAACTCTACATTTACCAGAGTTTTAATTTCAAACTAAAACTCCTGATTTCGTTTTGACACTCATGTCAACAATTAAAATAACAACAATTTTGTTTCCCATACCGGCAATAAAATCCCATTCCTTAAGCCACTAGATTTCGCTTATTTTTTGTTATTAACTAGTTTGTTAAAAAGTTCTAATAATTTAAAATATATCCCTTATTTTATGATAACCCTGTATCTTTGAATATAAAATTTATTTTATACTTATTCAAAGGTTATATCCAAAGGTTTTTAAAAAATTTCAAATGCGTTTTTTTATCACAAAAAGGGACACTTTGCCTCCATTTAACCTACACTGTATATCTACCGTTAATTGCCTTTAGAAGTCTGGTTGAAATGAGTTGGTGGGACGGGTAGCGTGATAGTTTAGTTGCCTAAGTATACATACCTGCCGAGACACCTGCTAACAGTCAAAAATCGTACAAGTACTTTTTTAAATAATTACCTATAAACCAAATCCATGTACTGAAAAAAATGTAAATTCCTGCAGACTACAGGATTTAATTGCGTCATAAATGTTCTTGGGACTCCAATCAGTAACCGCGTAATCTTTGACAAAGGATTTACCTCATAGACAGGTTCGACATTTTTTTATTTTAACCGAGATTTCAACTGAAATCGAGAGATTTTGTTCTTTTAAAACGACTAAAAAAAATTGGACGCAAAATATTGATATTTACGTCCACTGTAAGTATTTTAAAATCAAGGGTCGGCGCGAAGCAATAAAACGTACCCGTGCGCGAACCTATACCGCGTGACGTCAGTAACCAACACGTCGCGCTGGCAGACTATACGAATTTACGTAAAAAAAATTTCGCGAATCAACTTTTTGATAACCTTGCATCCTCGCTTGCATCCTTGCACCATTGTGCAGACAATAAATAAAATAAACAAATCGATCCCAGTTTACGTGAATTCGTATAATCTGCTAGCGCGGCGGCAAATGTGTTGGCTACTGACGTCACGAGCCTAGTCTCGCTCACAGCGGACGTAAATATCCTCGTAAATATCAATATTTCGCCCTCAAATTTTTTTTATCGTTTTTTAATAACAAAATCTCTCAATTTTAGTTAAAATATAAGAAATACAAAAAATATCGAACCTCCCTATTGGCTAAAAAATGGAAAAACCAGAAATGATCCCTTCCTACAGACGGCCTATTTGATCTAATCAACAGTTACCTACCTACCAATCTTGACATGTCTGTGACGTAAGCGACTACTAGAATTAGAATGTTTATGTAGATTGACAGATAATTTTGATTAACGTATGTATTTCACACATTACATATTTTACTCTTAATACGCTTTTATTTAATATCTACGTTCATTATTCTACATGGTGGCAGCATGAGTCGTAAGAAAAATAAGAAGAATATTGATGAATCATTTGGTGAATTGCAAGATAATTCATCGGTCGGCCGTCGACACATCACGTTTCAACCACCGGCTCAATTTGACTTCCAGTGCCCAGAAAAATGGGAAAAATGGTTTAAAAGATTCCAAAGATACCGGATGGCGTCGGGGCTTGATCAGGAACCAGAAGAAAAACAAGTGACTTCTTTAATTTATTGTATGGGGGAGAATGCTGAAGATATATTGACTCGCTCCCAACTTCCTGAAGAAAAACTTAACTCCTATAAAACTGTAAAGGCCGCATTTGACGAAGCTTTTATAGGGAAGCGGAATATACTTTATGAGCGTGCTAAATTTAATTCTCGAAACCAGAAAAAAGGGGAGATCTTTGAACAGTTTCTCACTGATATCAGCTTGATGGCCGAACGTTGTGCTTTCCGGGATCTTAGAGATGAACTTGTTCGTGACCGTATAGTTGTCGGTATTTTAGATAAGACTTTATCCTCACAACTACAAGAGGATGCTGACCTAACTTTGGAGAAAGCTATACAAAAGGCAAAACAGAGAGAATCCATAAAAAAACAAACTTATGAACTGGAGGAGATTCAATCAAAACCTTCATCAGAAGTTGATCGTATCCATTCCAGTTCGTCTAGCAAATTTCCACTAAAGGAGTCCACAACTGATATTATGGAAGGTGGGTGCTGGAATTGTGGGGGTCCTAGACACCCACGAAATTCTTGTCCAGCTAAGGACTATACCTGTAAGTGTGGAAAAGTTGGCCATTTTAAAAAAATGTGCAAATCAAATACCATTGTGGGTAAATTCACAAAGAAAATTGGGGAATTGCGCGAATCCTCGCAAATTTCAGTCAGCGAGCAAGAGGATGACGCAACGTACCTTGGAGCGTTGAATACCATTGGTGGAGTTTCCAATGCTTGGTACGTTGACATTTTTATTAATAATCAAAAGGTTAAAGCTAAACTTGACTCTAGGGCAGAAGTTACAGCCATACCATCTAATATTCTAAAGCAAATTCCAAATCTTTTCAAGTCAGACAAAACTCTAAAAAATGCCGACCAAAATATCATGGTGGTGGATGGCATGTTTACGGCAGATTTAGAATTTAATGGTCAGAAAGTGAAAGAAAAAATATATGTAATTCCTAGTTTAAGTGAACCTTTGCTCGGAATTACAGCCATAAAATCTCTTAACCTAATCACAGTTCGAAAATCGTATGAATCAGGCAATATTCAATCAATCGCCTTAGATAAAGTTGTACAAGAGTATCCCCAGCTTTTTATGGGATTAGGTAACATTCCAGGAGAATACAAAATTGAACTAATTGATGATGCTAAACCATATTCAGTTAGAGCCCCTCGGAATATTTCAATTCCTCTCCGTCCTAAAGTAGCAGCAGAGTTGCAAAGAATGTTAAAGATGGGAGTAATAGAAAAAATCGAAGAGCCTACTGATTGGTGTGCACCTATTGTCCCAGTCATTAAGCAAAACGGTAGTTTACGATTATGTGTAGACTATACAGATTTGAATAAGAATGTGAAACGCCCAAAAATCATATTACCAGATGTTGAAGAAACCTTGGGCCAGATTGGAAGCTCTAGAATATTTTCAAAATTGGATGCGCAATCTGGGTTTTGGCAGATAAAAATGTCACCTGATACTGCTAAATTAACAACATTTATTACACCATTTGGAAGATTTTTCTTTAAACGTCTACCTTTTGGAATCACATCAGCCCCAGAATTTTTTTCTGCTCAAATATCTAAACTATTGGAGGGACTAGAGGGAGTCTTATGTCATATGGATGACCTACTTATTCATGGGAAGACGCCAGAAGAACATGATTATCGATTAACTCAAGTTTTGAATAGACTGAAAGATGCTAATGTAGTTTTAAACAAAGAAAAATGCTCTTTTTCACAAACATCAGTGAAATTTCTGGGTAATATAATTGATTCTCAAGGAATAAGGGTTGATCCTGATCGTGTGCGAGCCTTAGAAGATTTACCTACTCCAAAAGACATATCAGGAATTCGTCGTCTGAATGGCATGCTAAATCAACTCAACAAGTTCGTTCCAAACCTTGCAGGGAAAACGGAGGCTTTTCGTGAAAGAAAAATAGAAAGTTTTGTTGGACCCAAGATCATCAGAAAATTCTTTCAGAAATAATTGAATTAGTTAAGAAATCAATTTGTTTGACACGGTATGATGTAACAGCAAAAGCAACTGTTATGGCTGATGCATCAGCTTACGGACTGGGCGCAATTTTACTACAGAATGAACATGATAAACTGCGAATTGTAATGTGCGCATCTAGATCACTTCAATCAGCTGAAAAAAGGTATGCCCAAATAGAAAAAGAAGCTCTTGCAATCGCTTGGGCAGCGGAAAAATTCTCTAAATTTCTAATGGGGAAGAAGTTCACAATTCTAACCGACCATAAACCCCTTGTTCCATTATTAGGCAGTAAAGACCTGGATAGCATACCTATACGAATTCAACGATTTAAGATGAGGCTAATGAAATTCGATTACACCATTGAGCACATTCCAGGAAAAGAAATGTTTACAGCAGATACTTTGAGCCGAGCACCTCTTTCTGATTCGGAGGATGATTTCACTGCAAAAGTCGAAGCTCATATCAAGGTGGTTTCTTCGGGATTCCCAACAACTCCATCCAGACTCGAGGAAATTAAAAACGCCCAAAGTCAGAATCGTGAATGTCAACTGTTAGTCGAGTATGTTGAGAACGGTTGGCCAGATCACAAAAAGATGTACAGGAGTTGATGAAGCGATGGTTCGCATTCCGTAATGGTATCACAATTATTGATGGTCTAGTCTGCTACAATGAAAGAATGATTATACCAGCAGAGCTACGTGAAGAAATAAAGGAAAAACTGCATGACGGTCATTTCGGGATAAACCGTACACTCCTGAGGGCTAAACAATCTGTTTTTTGGCCAGGTATCACTGAAGAATTAAGTAATGTGGTAGAAAATTGTAACATTTGCGCCAAGCATAGACGCCAATATACCGAGAAGATGATCCCTTCTCCTACTCCTTTGTACCCATGGCAAAAAATAGCTGTAGATTATTTCGAATTCCAAAAATGTACTTATCTGGCTGTGGTGGACTACTATTCGAGGTATTTGGATATTATCAATGTCACAACTATGTCTGTGACAGAACTAATAAAAAAAATTATGATTTCAAGATTGTGACGAGCAGCCCCTTATATCATCAGTCGAATGGAGAAGCGGAGCGATCAGTCCAAACTCTCAAGAAGATTCTTTGCAAGAATAAGGATCCCACTCTCGCCTTGCTAGAATATAGGGCCACTCCCGGGCTTTCTGGATACAGCCCAGCAGAACTCCTGATGGGAAGGAAGTTGCGCACTCGGATTCCTCTCCTGACCAAAGAACTTATTCCAAAAAACGTGAACCATAAACAATTTCGTGAGTGGGACAAGTGCTATCGTAGTGAACAGGCAGAATACTTCGACCAACGTCATCGATCGAAAGAAGAAGTCCCTCTTGAGATTGGTTCCTCAGTATTCATCCCTGATAGGCAAGAAGAGGGAACAATTGTAGAGAACGTAGCTCCGAGATCCTATACCGTAGCTACAAAGGAAGGATTATATCGTCGAAATAAAACTATGTTGAGACCACTTTCTTCTTCGGATAACCCTACATCAACAATTTCCTCTAGACGCGCTATCAAAGCACCACAAAGACTAAACTTGTGATTGTGATGAAAAGGGAAACCCGGGAAGAGGAGATGTGACGTAAGCGACTACTAGAATTAGAATGTTTATGTAGATTGACAGATAATTTTGATTAACGTATGTATTTCACACATTACATATTTTACTCTTAATACGCATTTATTTAATATCTACGTTCATTATTCTACAATGTCTTTCACATACAACATACAACGCGAAAAATATGACATAAGTTGTGTAGATTGTCCTATGGATAAGTATCTCCTCCATAGGAGTCTGAATACAGAACCCTGCTAGTTTGTTCTACAATCTACATGACTATTTTTGTATATCTAGTGTTCATAAAGAGAATGTAAAGGGGTAATCACTTGAATACCATGGTAGAATAGATAATATGTTAAAGAAAATGGCCTACATTATTCTTCAATCTTCAGTAATAGCAAAGATCATGAAGTATCTCGTGTAGTATGATCTTTGGTAATAGCGAGGTATTAAAAGGTGCCATATGGGAAATCATTATTAACTCATGCACCATCTACAAAACCTACGAACGAATATAACGTAAACAAACAAGCCAAGCTAGCATGCAATTTTACCACAGATAGTATGTGAAGAGCGTGGTGGTTTGGATCGAAGCAATCGCACCACCTCAGTGGGTTTAGCTGCCAAAATACGCAAAAGTTAGCCTTATATTATAACAACCAATTAAAAAAACGACAAACAACCCACAAGTTTTCAACAGTGCGAAACTAAATTATACAACGTAAGCACATCGGATACGAGTGATAACCCACCTGTAAAAATTCGCTGGCGTGCCTGCAGTAGCTGGTTTTTATTTTTGACACGCACACATAAATGTATCATGGTGAACATCATAACGTTCATAATTAAACTTTGAATAAGAAGAGGGTATTCGAAATGCTTCCCGAACCTGCGAAACGCAATACTGAATGATTACACACGAGAGGAGCACTTACCAAAAGAGTATCCTTAAGGTGTTTGCGATAAGTAAAGCTAAACAAACGTGCAATGAAAACCCTTCAGCGTCGTGAGTTCTTTTAATTTGCCTGTATTGGGGGATGTAGGGTATTACACCACCAATTATCATACCTCCCGCACTAATCCAACCCACAACTGTCCCAACAGTAAGGGATAATTCGTCTGATAATATCCAATCCATTTATAAAATTTGCTAACTACCTACTACTAAAATTTAGTTAAATTTTGCATGATTTCTTCACTGCAGTTTAAAGGTTGCGTAGCCGTGCTGCAGTCTCCCGTCTCCGTGTTGTGCAGTGAACTGTCAAATGTCAACCAAATGTCAGTGTGTCGTGATCTTTAAAGTTTGCGGTTTCCATTGGCGTACACACCAGGAACTAACGGGCGATCATTAATTATTCTGGTCAGTTTATAGTTGTCACAAAAAAACGTGTGCCCTTCCCATAGACATGTGGGCGGCCAGTGACGGATTTTCCATAAGGCACAGTGGGCCCGAACCTAGGGCGGCCAGAGATTAGGGGCGGCCAATCGTCACTGATGATAACAAGAAATGACTCAGACTCAGAGTACGTACCTGAATATTCTAAAGTGAAAAGTTGTTGCTCACTGATTTTGCTGTGCTTAAGTGCAGACGAGTTTTGTAGCAATGTGAAATACCTATAACTTATTATACCTGTATGAAAATACCTAAACCCAAGATATGTCTCTATATATCTTGCCTAAACCTATAGTTAAACTAGTTAAATAAATAAAACCTGGCTAAAACCTTAGAGAAAGTATTACGAACTATTATAGCAGAGTTAGCAGCTGTTATAGTTAAGAGTTAACTAAATTAAAATTTCTGAATCGATTTTAAAAGTTGGCAATAAAGTAAATTCATTATAATGTACCTAGTCTATATGATTTGTACTAAGACAGGGGCGGCTACGTGGCCTGGGGCCTAGGGCGGCCAAGACTGCAAATCCGCCACTGTGTGGGCCGTTCCATACTTTTCACCTGAACAATATTATTTAAGCCCCGTTCAATGCCGTTACTTAATCCGTTGTATACGCAGGATGTAACAATTAGATAGGTATATAAAAAACCAAACAAACGTGTTATTCGTTTTTAAAGGAACCAAAGGTCTAAATTTTGAGTTTAGGAGCTAAGTTCCCAAATAACACACTATTTGTGTTTTTTGTTTCATTTCAGCAACCATAAAACATAGGAAGAATGAAATTACAGGCTGTGCCTAAGCTTTTGGTACTTATGGCCTTCCCAATTTTCCACTAAATTGCTATCCCAAAATGCCAATTCCAACAGGGATCAAAAAAATTCTGAATTACACAAATGTGTGGTTTTTTTAACATAAAAGAACAGACAATTCTTCAAATTTCCTAAATCCGTTATATTTCTTTGATTCTTAACATCTTTTGGATTCCTCCATTCTTGGTTTTTTGATCCATAAAACCCTTATACTCCCAAAGGTCATCGGACCTTTTAGTTTCTAAGAGCTTTCAAATTCTTCCCAATAATTAATAACTATATTTTTTTTGTTAAAAAAGAATACAAATTTTCAATAACAACGGAATATATACTATTGCATATTTAAAACGTTTTTCCTTTTTTCTGGAGCCCAATATCTCACTCACGCACCATTCCATTCTATTTTCATTAACTTGAAGCTCAATTTATTATCGGTTTCCAAAATAGCCATCGTTGCAAAGGGCAAAATCCTAGAATTGAAAAATAATTCCGATTTATTTACTTTATTTCAGTGGCAGTAGATGCATACGAGTGCTACATTTATGCTTGTAGGAATTTTGATTAGGAGTATGAAAAATGACCCGGATGCCGGCCGGTCATTTTTTGACAAGTTGTGACCAATACATATACAAATGTTAGGTTAGAATTACAATTAGTTTCCGTTAATTAAAATTTTAAGTTTATTAAACGTTAAATAATGATATTAAGAATAATTCCACCCTTAACGCGATGTCGTCGAGCGACATTGTTACAGTACTCTCAAATAGTGACTTACCAATTATGTAAGAGACAAAAGACAGATAAAAGTGTCACAACTACCTCCAGAACGGAACTAGATACAAATGTAAAACCTATCGGCGAGAAAGTAAAGGAAACAACAAAGACAGCTTCCTATTTAGGCATTATTTTATTAGGTGTGGGAGTTACGGGTGCTTTATTTTATGCCGTTTTTAGTGAACTATTTTCGAGTAAAAGTCCCAATAATATTTATACGAAAGCTGCGAAATTGTGTATAAACGATAGTAGAGTTCAAATTGCCTTGGGTGAACCCATTACAGTTTACGGTGAAGAGAACAGAAGACGGAGACGGCAACATGTTAGTCATGTAACTTACGAGAAAAATGGTAAAAAGCATCTACGTATGCAGTTTCACTTGAAGGGTAGTGTTAGAAAAGGGAAAGTTCAATTGGAAATGCAAGAGGTAATCGTTAGTATTCGAGTTGTCCTGTTAATCATTATAATTTTTGTAGAATGATGCCGGCAAGTATGAATACCGTTACTTATTTGTTGAAGTTGAGGATTTGCTTCATTCGACAATTGTTTTAGAAGACAATAGGAGTCAAGATGCGACGCTTCCATCTTTTGTCTAATTTGTGTTGCAATCTTTATTGTTTGTTTGTAAAGTTTGATTGTAGTCTTACCTTTATAAATGATTGTACAAAAGATCCATACTCGGTCTAATAAAAATAAAAGAAAGGCTGAAATACTAACACACAAAGTAATAGTTTTGATATCAGATTTATTTAAGTAGGGAACTTACCTATTTGTAAATATTTAAAACTTTAGTTTTGAGGGAATGATACAGCAAATGAAATAAAATAATTTAGACCATTATAGGTATTTCCTATTCACATTTGCAGTTGTGTATTGTATTCTTCTATTTTAAATATTAGAAATGATATGTAAACACTCTCAAGGCGTTTCATATACAGAGTGTTCAGAAAGAAGAAATTCAATGATGGGCATATGCATTGTTTAAAAGTATTTAAACAATGGCATAAGCTATAAAAATATTTTGTGAAAAAAGTTGTTAAATCAAATGCGTCGCCGCCTACCTAACTAAATTCATTTATGGCCGTTTGCACCGCCAAAATAAGCGGAGCTTAGCTTAAGCCTAGGTTAAAATCCATGGCAACCATTGTCTCAACAATCGTTGCTATGGATTTTAAGCTAAGCTCCGCTTAAATTTGTCGGTGCAAACGGCCATTAAATGGAATATCATACTTTTATTAAATTTATAAGTAAAGTTATCAGAAATATATGTTGTAAATTCCAATAATCTAATAAAAGGGAGGGTTTTCCATTGAAAAGAATTAAGGTAGGTAGTGCCACCCTGCGATGACGCGTTTAATTAAAAAACTTTTTATCACAAAACATACCTACGGTCATAGCCTACGTTTATAACAAAGTTTTAAGAATTTGAAAATCTGCAGTCGTTTCCGAGATATCGCCCTATCCCCATCCTCGCTGAACACCCTGTATACATCTGCACTCCATGGACAAGTGGGTGAAACATTCATTGCTAAAATAAGTTATAGACGGACAACTAGGTAAATGGAAAAATAATTAATTTTACGACGCACACAACATTGAAGCCATTTTTTAAATGCTGCTCACTTTAAAACCTGAAATCGGTTTATGAAACGTGGGGTACGTACTTAACAATTAACAACTTATAATACACAAATTGTAAAGGGCATTCACGGTAGGGAAGTATATCGGGTTTGCCTTACAAAGAAGTAGAGTACCTACCTACCTACAATACCTAAATTGCGTGATTTTCGCAATAATCAACTTTCATGTCCATAAATAGTATAAGTAGTGTATGAAATAAGTTTATTCTTTTTTTGTAAGATCAAGAAAATAATGTTTTCTGATGTTTTTTGTTTTTATATCACTTGATTTTTTGAATATGTAGCTTTATCAGAAATTGAAAGTAGAGTAGTTTTTCTTCTTACACTATATTATCCTATCTCTTGTAATAAAAGAAATATAGGCTTGGACACGCAAAATCAATCACACTGTATAGACCGTAACAATTCAAAGAAATCTATTCTACTCGGTTATATCTAAGTTTTCTGTTTCAAAAATCCATCATGGCACCACATAGACACTGGAAAAACTAAAAAAAAACTTTTCCATTACTTTTATTCAAAAAACAAAAACACATTAAATTCATCTTGTAAGACTGCAATTCTTTCCACAACTACCGTCTCTCTATAGGCTGAAAATTGATTTCAACACCATTTGCTAAATTTAACAGAAAATACTATTATCATTGAATTTAGTTATAAATTCAATGCTATTATGAATCAACAGTAAAAATCAAGTTATACGTATTTAATTAAATTTATTTTATTTTATTTATATTTAATTAAAAATACGTTCGATTTACTACCTACTGCGTTTTCTTTAGAGGCGAAACTTCATAAAAAGGCACCAAACGATTATCAAACACATATTGAATGATCCTTTCTGTAAACCATAAAAATATAACAAAGACTGATAGAAACTGGATCCATGCCCATTTCACTTCTTGCCAGAATCCCGGTGTGTAGTAGACGTGGTGTATCGGGTACTGGATTATTAAATTCAAAACAAATTCAGATGATTTCCTTGGTGTTTGTGTCATGTATTCATTTATCAGACGGGTTGAAACTACAATAACAAAAAAAGTGTTGTTGGTAAATATGCCACAAACTGCTCTATAGAAATATTCAACATAAATTTGATGATTTTGATAATAATAGTGGCTATTTATGGATACATACCATTTCTTAAATTGTATTCCTCCAAAATCCGTGAAAGATCAAATTTGTTAGTATTCTCTTCTTTTTCGTTTACAATAGGATAATTGTATCTTTTGTTCGTCTTATGTTGGTGGCATCCTAATGGTTCAAATTGGAACAGTCCTAATTGGGCATTTAATGTAATGTCCCTCGTAAAACTTTGGCCATTGTTCTGTACAATGATGGCTGATTGCATTTTCATGGGGCATACTGTCTTAAAAATAGTGAATTGAACACCGACGGCATTTGCATAGGTTTTCTTACATGTAAACTGTAGTCTAATGTTAGGATTAGGTAGAACGACACTATTTCCAATTCGGTAATGTCGACAGTAACACTAAACTGCAGTTCGTCAATTTTATCATCTCCATTCTTAGTTACTTCTATTACCTGGAAAAGCACGTTGCAATTATTAGAAGCATAGGCGAAACAAAAACATACCTTGACAAGAGGGCACCTGTCAAATTCCGCATATTTTTGAAGGAACGGGTAATTACTACAAAAGATCGGCGAAGTGGCGACATTCGTTAACGCGCCAAAAATATATTCACCCCTAAAATGTACGCTCGGCTGCTCGTAGAATGAGTCCTGCTTCAACCAAAACGCTAAAAATCAATGGTTGGAAATTCCGCTATTTGTCGCTTACCTCTACTGTTATAGACTATCACGAAAGGCGCAATGACGGAAATTATTCTTAGTATTAAGGTAAAAAAAGTTGCTTTCGAAATTAAATAGGTCTTGTATTTTATTGGCAAACATTTAGAATAGATTTCTAAAACCACCATTGCTTTTCATTGGGTGGAAACACTTAAATGAATACAATGTTGATATTCAACCTGGTTGCTTAGCAATACCTGAATAGAAATCAATAATTGCGCATTTATGCTGTTAACCATTAACAATAATTGTTTACAAGGCAATTGAAGCAGTAAATGGTTTGAAGAATGATTTCTCTGTAGATGGTGATGGTGTACTATATATTCCAGGTGCCCGAGGACTCACAAGTCACAAAGCTTGTATTCTTATTTTATTTTTAGTTGATATTTTTTACTTAATTTAGGGCGTGACTTGTACACACCTGGCGCCCAAAATTATATGCACTTTGTCAAATGTCGGTGGCAGTTTCACTGGAAGACCCGTTTCTCCTGGCTAGCCGTTGCCAATTCCCTTTTCCTCCTTGAGGTTCGCTGCACTACGTGACACCAGTCGGTGCGTTTTCGGGCCAGCGGCAAATTTCTTTCGTAGACTTGCGTGACGGCAAATATTTTTACAACCGTACAACTAAAAATAGGAAAGTCATATTCGCACGAAATAAAATATTCTACGCCTGTTTCAAACCGCGCATAAGTTGAAGCACTTTGAATCTGCGCTATTATCAACAAAGGCGCACCTTCACACCAGGAAAGCTGAAACCGTATAAATCCACGCAGGAAACCCCTTTAATCTGGGCGAAACGTAAGGCACATTCATCTATATATTTCGGACAATATCGTCAACTTAAGGAGAAGGCTAATTAGAGCTATTGTAAAATTTCGTTTTTCGATTGCTTTTCTACGCCGTGATTTAGAAATCTTGGTATCATTACAATTACAATGTATTGTTAAGTCGTTTATTTCCTTTATTGTTAAGTACCCAATATACTCAATATTTTGTATTCGTTATCAACTAGATCAATTAGAGGGTCAAGTGGTATCAGTTTTTCTATGTCAAGGATATAAATTAGTTTTGACGTGTCTCAGACATGTGCTATTTTTTGCTGAATGAGACTAATTTTGTTTTTTTTTATGTTATTTTATTTTGTACAATGCAACCCATGGTGACCCAGTTTGTTCAAATTGGCGCTTTTTTTCTCTTCTCGTACGAATCCGAGTTCGGGCACAGACTTCAACCGTTTCCTTCAAATTATGGTGTAGATCAACATGTTGGGTCTTCCTGGCCCAAAATGATCGCTAAAGCTGAACAAGCCCCATGTTTGAATTGTGGTCAAGTTCAAAGGATCACAATACAAATGTCTGGAATTCATAAGCACAATAAACGGCAAAAGTTAAAATTTGTGAAAAGTGAACATAAAAACAGGACCCACTTGGCAGATGTCTTCGGATTTGAGGAGGTCTGGTAACATCCTTTCGAAAAAACCGAAGGATAAATATCTCATGACCTTGTTATAGGAAAGCATTTCGTTCGTAAAAAAATAAGTAATTTGATGTTTTGCTGTTATTTTTCTATTGGATACAAAACACCTGTCCAGCTTGCTCAAAACAAAACAAAATTGAAACTTACAATTTTAGGGGAGCTTTTGAAACAATAAAAATTCCTCTTGTCCGCCTGTCTGTCTGCTCCTCGTCTAACTCGAGAACGACAAGAGACAGCGATGTCAAATCTTGGCCAGTTGATTTCGACAAGTTCAAGCATCAGTACTATTGAATATGAGCCGAATTAAAAGTCTGGTTTCCGAATGCGCACATTGCGAGCTGAGTGGCAAAAAAATCCCTTACTAAAAATCGTAAGCGATTCTTCGTATCTATATATAATCTCTCCTCGTACTCATCCGGCATCTGCTATAAGAAAAATTCCAATACTGACTGAAAATGTCTCAATTAGAGAAACTCTGTAGCCTCGATCAACTTCCGAAAATTCCAAAGAATTTATTACACAATTTTTGATTAACACTTACTAAATCTTGATCACGAGTAGAAAAATGTCTGACATGACAACTCTATCTGGGTCAAACAATGGATTCGAATAAACACACAATCAGGCAACGACAAAAATGTATTCCGAAACACTGAAAAAAAAGTAAAACAAAATCCCTATAAGAAAAAAAGCTTACAAAGCTTGTTTGGACATATTACCCCCCACGCAGGCATCGAAAATGAAAATAAGAAATCTTAAAATTACCTTTTTTTTAAATAATCCAAATAATCTGATCGTACAAGATTTTCCAAAGATAGGAACACTAAACTTACAAAAGAGCCGACAGCTTCTGAACTTTTCTTTGATTTATAACATAGAATTAAATGACAAACAAAACTGGCTTAATGAATAAGATAAACAAATTTTCGGTGGCTGTTCAGACGGTTTAAACTTTTAATAAGAACACCTTATCTTATAAACAGCACGTGCATTGATTAATTTTCCCTTATCACAACGACTAGGGGCCTATTTCATAAAGTTGCTTTGCAAGATGTGACTTACTTCTAAAACCTTATCTAAATTAAATAAATAACAAAAGCGATCAAATTGAAACAAGAATTACGCATTTACACATTTTCTAAAAGCAAAAAAACCACTGAGAAAAAAATTCAAATGAAACGAACCAACTCTGTGCTTAAAGTAAATAATCCCCCAGATTTACTTAATAAATTGAAATATATTTAATAAAATAAAATAATAAGTACAAAATTGCGGCTATTTAACAAAAATTAGACACCGTCCATACTACAGAAATTGTACGCACATTTTATTACTTTGAGAACTTTCCACTTGATTATAAATTTGTTTATCAACTTATGCCGTTAAACTCAGAATACAGCATTACAGCTCTTAATTGATCTATGAATACTGACATGATTTGGCTATTTTGCTAAAAATATCACTCGAAAGTGGACCAAAAGATAAATTTTTTTTTGTTAGAATTTTTTCTTTTAATGAAGCTAGGTACTGTAAAATCATTGTATATGTATCGTGCTCAGTAGCAAATCAAATTTTGTGTATTTTAAGAAAGGTAATAGAGTGAGTTTTTAAAAATCTTGATTTGACGCTTCTTTTCATTGTCAAAAATTCAAAGTGGTACAAAAATTTAGTTTTCCGAGTTTCCGACCCTAAATCAACCGTTGCGAATCTGGAGGTACCTATTGCAATAAGAAGCCATCTTTTGTGTTCAATATGACTGGTTACACCACAACTATCACCATAACCCAATGGTAAAATTGTTTGGCTCCATTAGATGACCAAATCAAAATTACAATGCGTTTGATAGGTACCTGCTATTAGCGTAGTTAACAATAACGTTTAAATTTATAAACGATTTTTGAATATCAATGACAAAAAGTTTAGGTCTAAAATAAAAAATTACCATTATATAACCTCATTAACATTCCACGAATGAAGTGATGTTTTGATGGACAATTACCTATGCTGTAATTATAGTATCAGATTGGCGGATATATAATGTAGTACCTACCTAATCAGACATGCTCCAGTTTTATATGATCATGAGTAAGTAATTATAACAATCTGTTGTGCACTTATTTAATGTCTCTCAAAATAAGCTGAACTTTGGTATCTATAAATCATTTTTTTGTAGGTAATTCATTTCGGCAAAAGCGCTATTAGAAAAAGTGAAACTCCTACAAATATGATTTTAAATAATTACGATCAAGTTTAATCCAAATGTTACGGAAAATATCACGATGCCATGCCATTTGAAAGCTGTGGGTGCCTCCTAGGAAAACCTCCATAAATCCGACAAACATATTTTAGTCCTAATTAATACCTACTTTGGATTCACCTTACTTTATCAGAAGGTATTCAATAAAATAATTGATCAAGGATATACATTATTAGAATAAGACACGATGAAAAATTCATAACATATATCGAATAGCAATTTCCGAAGTAGACTCGTACATATTAATTTTAAAATTTATAAAATCGAAATACCCATAATTTTTTAATAATCAAGCGTAAATGGTAATTAAGCAAATAATTCTTTTTTCATAACACGATAAATTCCGAATTTGTGAATGCTACATAATTGATTGTGATTTATTGGAAAGAAGACCCCGCGGAGCGCGCGATCGTCACAAATTATATAAGCTACGTCGAGACGAACTTTAGATCAGTTTTGTTCACTGATTTGACAACTGATCATCATAAGGGTATGTCCTTTCTTATTTTGAAAATTCTTTGAACTTTTACTATGTATTCGAAAATCTGTCTGATGCATTAAGAAAAGCAGCGCAGTTTTCTAAAGAATTTGTAAATTTATATGGCAATATTGCATGGCTATTAATTGTTTAATTTTCTGTGAATATGTATAAAAACAACTATACATTAATTAATTCCCATGTTGTAATACTCACTACTAATACGGGCGATGACAATATATTACATATTATGTGTAAATTAATCATTTTGTATAATCAATTTAAGAATTTTAAAAATGTCTCGCCTTAAACTTGGAAATGGAAATGGGGTGATAAATAAAAGCTTCTTGAGGATTTTTGTGCACCAAAGATGGTAACAATAATGTTAGGTAATTATCTGAATTTCCAGATTTTCATTAACTTGCTTGCTCCCTCTAAACAGGGTGTTCAGTTTCACGCATCTGACGCATCTCCATATAATATACCTACCTAAGTAAAACAGAAGTTGGAAACACAAAAAGAAGTGCTTTAATTTAGGGAGAGTTTCATTAAAGCACACTTTTTCTGTCTGCAATTGCGACAAAAAACGATGAGGAATGTTTTTAGGGCGCAAGCTTATAATATTTTCGTACAAATTCCAAAAATCCAACTCCACTATCGGTTATACAAAACGACCGATTATTCTTGGTCTTAATATCAAATTAAGGAAAGCAATTATTACCGACTGTCGGTCATTATTGAAAATGTCTAACTTATACAATTTGTCCATTTTGCGAATTCCTTGCAAGACGATTACAGCAACAACCTGTAAGTTTACATATGTAAGCGGTGTCTTCCAAATTGAAAAGTTTGTTTTGAACAAAAATTTTTGAATTTAGGGTAACATGATGAGGTAGTGTATATTTTTCCCGAGGGGTAAACCGCAACCCAAATTTTGTACACTGATTTCCTATAAATATTAGATTTCCTCTGAGTTCCTTCGAGTTCTTCAGAGTTCATTTGATTTCTTCGGAGTTTCCCTGATTTCCTCCGAGTTCCTCCAACTTCCACGAAATACCTCTGATTTCCTTGGAGTTCCCTCGATTTTCTTTTGGAGTTCCTGTGAGTTCCTCTGATTTTTTAAAGTTTTTTAATTATTTCATTGTTATTCCGTTGATTTAACAATTTCCTGGTACGTAAAACCCGAGGTAAAACCATAAAAAAAATATAAAAGTGTCAAGTGTCAAGTTAAAAAGTAATCGTAAACGATTTACATAAAGCGCGCATTTCCACTTGCATTCATTTCCCATTTGTAAGATGCAACTTCTGTTAAAATCGTAAAAATCCGCCCACAAATATGAAAGATAGCGTTGCACATGGGCAATCCATTGTTGACGTGCTACTTCAATTTCAGTTTATGAGAAGAATTTCATTTCAATGCTTTTCTAAATAAGAAAGTTGGAACTGCGCATGCGCAAACCTAAATTTTAAAACTAATGTTAGATTTTCCTTTGTTCCAAGCGCCTAAGTATCAAATTTCACTTAAATGTTCCATAGATAAAAAAGTTGGCACTGCGCATGCGCAAAGCCAAATTTTGAAACTGGCGTTTGATTTTCCTTTATCCCAAGTGCCTATGTATCAAATTTCGTTTAAATTCTTCCATAAATAAAAAAGTTGGCACTGCGGATGCGCAAAACCAAATTTTGAAATTTGCGTTTGATTTTCCTTTATTTCAAGTGCCTATGTATCAAATTTCATTCAAATACTTTTATAAGTAAAAAATTTTGCAATTCGGTTTATAAATGGTCGAGATGCGAAAAGGGCACTGTGAATTTTGAATCGATTCGATTCAGCTTTTGGCATTGCGTATTGTATGGCTAAATCTATGCCCATATTGAATTTCATGCAATTCAGTTCATAACTCACGGAGATGTAAAAGCGATCGAACATTTCTAAACAAAGTTATCGTTCACACGGACAGATAGATGGACAGACAGACAAAGGAACAGACGGAGAGACCAACCGGCAGGCGACAGATAGCAATGCAAAATTATAAACGATCTCTAGGATCGTTAATAAACGGCAAAAGTGTAAAATTATGGAACATGTAAAAAACGGTTTTTTGTTTTTTTTACAATAACTTTTTTTGTAAGCGGTACAGAAAAAATTCCTTCCTTGGTACAAGACTCGACACCATAACGAACCAAATAGCGAAAAAAGTAGAACAATAGCTCTTAAGATAAAGAACTAGTAGCGTCGCAAAGTTAGCGGAGCGGACGGACGGACGGATAAAGACACGACCTTAGACGAAACACTATTTTATATTTTAATAGACCTATTTGCAATGAGAAAAACTCATTATTAAATGAGAAAAATACCATAAACAAATAAACAAATTAGTTAAGACCAAATTAAATAATAAAATGCAGCACGAGTTCCTTTGATTTCTTTAGAGTTCCCTTGATTTCCTCGGAGTTCCTGTGATTTCCTTGGAATTCCTCCTGAATACACATGGAATTCCTTGGAATTCTTAGCTTTCCTAGGAGTTCCTCCGGAATTCCTATGATTTCCCATAGATTTCCTCAAACGTGTACACTGATTTCCCATCGCGGTTTACCCCTCGATTTTTCCAATTAGTAAATTCTCAAAAATTTGCTATGAAAAAATACTGAATTATATGCATAACGACACAAGTTCCGAAAGTTATTCCTTATGATGTGGCTTCGCGTTGTAGCTATCTATAAGCAAAGAGTAACTATAAACTCTTTGCTATAAGCCAGTAAATGAACGTGGAATACGGCGATACTGTGTAATTTTCCGCGTCTCCACCGAATCGCATGAAAATTTGGATTTAGGTTCTACTTACCCTCCACTTCAAAGTTGATTTTGAGCCCAGGGTTGCTTTTTATTTTTTAGGGGAAAAAACTACCCCTATTAGAAAAAATCGTATAATTGTAAATTAAAGCGGGTAATTGATTCAAATCATCTTTTAAAGGAGTGACTAAATATCAATTAACATTAAACAACATAACTTAAGATTTTATCACAGTTTAACCTCTAAATCTTACCTCTAAAATAGTTATAATTAAAACAATGGCCCATGTGAATAAAAAGAAGCATTTGTGCTTATACTTGCAAAATTCAAAGTAATTACTCGTAAGTGCCCCCTCACACTGGGCGACCTAGCAGCGCTGGTTAGCCATAGGACGGGACGCAGTGCAGAGCTGCTGAGCAGCCCAGTGTGAAGGGGCACTTATGAGTATTTACTATGAATTTTGCAAGTTTAAGCACATGCTTCTTTTTATTCATACGGGCCAATGCCATAGGAACTTTGACTCCACTGATTTGCATGGAAATTTGGATTTAGCTTATTCTTACCCTCCACTTCAAAATTGGATTTGTGCCGTTGGTTGCTCTTTATTTTTTAGGGGTGGAAACTACCCCTATTAATCTTGTAATTGTAAATTCAAGCAATTTGGGATTATGTATACAGTAACATTAAATTTTGATTTCTTTGCTATTTTTATTAAATAAATATACACATATATACGCAACGCTTATATATAGTTTGTAAGGATGGGTGAAATGTCTGTGCCTAAATAGCACATTACATTATGTGTATCTTACAATGCTCCAGTAACTACACGCCTTTTGGTGTATTAAATATGTGATTGGTTTTTTACTCATAAATCGGTTAAATTATAAGCTACGAAGTGCTTTAAAAAACAATTTTGTAGTTTTTTTTAAAAGCTATAAGATTATTCAAATTAATTTTTTTTTGAACCCATATTTTTGAAAGCGTTGTAGGTGAAAGGGCTCGAATGAGTCACTAATGACGAGTGTATGCAAACTTTGAACAGCCATATCTTCGCCAATTTTTGTTTTACAGAAAAACAAAGAAAAGCAAAAGCTACATTTTTTTATTCTTGTAAATTTTTCGTAGCACCAATACTTTTGAAGTTATTTTGAAAAAAATGCAATCTTTCAAAATTTCAAAATTTTTTTTTACTTCAAAACTCTCGTCAAAACTACATTTTTTCAAAAATAAGCACTTTGCACCGGTCAAACTTACAGATCATATAAACAATACATAAATAAAGTAAACTGTAAAGCGGTAACGCTTAATTACAATTGGGGTGCTAATTAGGGGGCGATTTCCTTGATTTTTTTACCAAAAAAAAGGACCAACTTTATTTTGAGCGGAACTCACTTAGTTTTGATGCTAGAAACTTTTCTTAAAAACAAAAAGAAAGGTTTTTTCAAATAGTTTAAAAAAGTATTCATAAGTTTTCCCCGAAAAGTGCTACATTTTTCGGTTATTTCACGTTGAAGTACTCGATTTGGAATTTGACGAATGAGAACCTACTTTTCATAAGCTACAACTTTGCTTCTACTGGGTCTACAGACTTCATATATAGACCATTTTGTTTGTTTTACTTTTTTCGATACAATACTTACTTTTAGAGTTATTTGCGAAAAACACGTCTGAAAACGCGGTTTTTTTGTTGAAAAATGAATATTTTCTCTCGCAAATAACTCGAATACCCCTCACCTTCACCCCCCAAGTAAAAGCAACCCTGGGCTCAAGTTCACCTTTGAAGTAGAGGGTAAAAGGAACCTAAATCCAAATTTTCAAGCAAATCCGTCAAGGCGCGAAAAATTACACGCCAAAACGGTCATTTACTAGCCTACTTATAGTTATTTATGCATCAAGGGCATTAAGGCGATATTTATGCCGAGGGCCACAGACCCCGAAGGATTATAAGTCGCCCGAGGGTTAAATATCGAGTAATGCCTAAGGTGCATACACAATTTTATTTTCCATCGTTCCAAATAATGCATTTCCAATATACAAATGTAATGATTATACAATATACATTAAAGTGCTTCCATATCAAGTAGCATCTTTTTTTATTACATAATATCCGTCAATATATTTGACAGGCCGCTTGAGGGCATAATAAGATGACAATCCCGAGGACAATCCATTATACCCTCGGGCGTTATAGACTGCTTTATATATCTCATATGACAAATATAATAAAATATTGGCATATAATAGGCAAATGAAAAACAAAAATTATTATAGATGTATACGACGATCATTGTAGATTGTAGATACGGAGATGCAATTACAAACTACCCTTATTTCGTAATGTAGAAATCATGGCTGAAGAGAAGAAAAATTTTCTCTTTAAAAAAATAAAGTTTCCACATTTTCAAAACTCTGAAATTTCACATTAATTCAGTTGTTACACATTAGGTAACGCCTCAATCTAACTTAGGCAGACCCTGGAAGGCATAGGGCTGTTATTGACCTTATTAAAGACAATTTCATTCGAGGAGTACACTTTCTGGACATTTCACAAAAACTTCACACAACTCCAAAACCTTTCTTTTTGGGCGTGTGGTCATTTATAAGTTTCGCCAAAGTTCGATTTAAAATTAGAGAATCCCATTTGAAATAAATAAACTTTGAGGCTTTCCGATTTTCTAAAATTGAAATCTCCAAAACGGAAAAAAATTTTAAACAACAAAACAGCAAAACCGAATCTAATTTTCACGTGTTAACAAAGAGGAATTCTATGAAAATAACTTTACCTTATTACGATACTGACACCGTTCCATTCGCGTAAAGACGCTTTTAGATAGTTAATTTAAACAATTTCAGCGTGTCTATATGTCTACCACATATACTACAAAATACACGCCGTTTCTTCCAATTAGTTTAAATTTTACTATCATACACCAAAAAATTATCAAATCTAAGTGATCACTTTCGCATATGAGGTTACTGTCTTTTCAAAAATGATTTTGGCATGGTCTTGTCTATATTTTTAACTATTATTTGTCTATTAATAATATACAGGGTGGCCATTTGAAAACGAAACAGAGCCTATTTAGGGGACCTCAAAACATTTACGAAAAAATCCTCGGACCCGTCAATTTTTGATCCAAGGGGGAACCATTTTTTTGCTAGTTTCGCCCCCCTGAGGGCAAAGTCGTAGCGGGGGTGACAAGTGCCCTCAAAATTTTAAATCGAATGGGGGGTCGAGTGATACCTTATTTTGAAGGTATTTTTATGTAGAATATAACTCTTAAGATTTAAATCAGTTTTTTTCAAGTAAATGTTGAAAATGTTGGCCTTCGACTTCCATACAATATTACAGGTTTTGTTCAAACCTTTCCCGTATATTTTGCAAAACTTCTGGGGTGATTTGACGACATTCATCAATTATTCCTTGTCGCAAGTTCTCTAGCGATGTTGGCTGACTAGCATAAATTTTAGTTTTTAAATGTCCCCATAACAAAAAATCTAACGGACTTAAGTCCGGGGAACGAGGAGGCCATTCGATAGCTCCTCTTCTTCCAATCCATTGTCCTGTAAACGTTTGGTCCAAATATTGAAGAACCCTTGCAGCATAGTGGGGTGGCGCACCATTTTGCTGAAATACTAGACGATTTTCCAAGTACTCGTTGTTATTTTCTAGTATCTCCACTAATGCTGGATGAATCGTATTTTCTAATAACTCCAGGTACATCTCTCCTGTTAGATTGCCAGGTAAAAAGAAGGGGCCTACGATATGGTTACCAAAAATGCCAGCCCAAACATTCAATTTTTCGGGGCGTTGTGAAAGTGAGAAAGTGTTGATCATTTGTGGCTTCTTCAATAACAATAACCAAGATTTCCGTTGCAGAATTGGCATAGCCACTTACAGGTATTAAAAAGAAGAAAAACAACAAGTACGGTTCAGAATGTAGGAGAACAACATTTTTTGTATTTATTGTTGTATTAATTTTTGTTATTTAACTAATTCGTTTACAAGCATTATTTTTCATAAGAAAATGTTGACACGTTTTTGTAACTTTTATTAGCCCCTGTATCGGCTAGGCAAATTAGTAGCGATTTAAAACTTAAGGGTTATAATCCACATAAAAATACCTTCAAAATAAGGTATACTCGACCCCCCATTCGATTTAAAATTTTGGGGGTGGTCGTCACCCCCGCTAGGGCTTTGCCCTTAGGGGGCGAAGCTAGCAAAAAAATGATTCCCCCTTGAATCAAAAATTGACGGGTCCGAGGATTTTTTCGTAAAAGTTTTGAGGTTCCCAAAATAGGCTCTGTTTCGTTTTCAAATGGCCACCCTGTATAATAATAATAATATACCTATATAATAACTTTAGGGTTCCTTCGTTTTGATCAAAATTAACGTAATTGGTTTGGTGTAATAAATTGAAATCTAAAGAAATTCTACGGTACCCCTAAAATACCAATGATACTTCCTCTGAATTACAGGGCAGGACAGGATTTACATACATTAATAGTTATTATTTTTAAATAATAAAGCAATTAGAATGATAAGTAGATGCTTCAAACTGAATGTTAATAAGCAAAATTTATTCTAAACAGATGCCTTCTACGGCACCATGTCAAGGTTACAAAATTAAATAACATTCCTGAAAATGATTCATTTAAAAAGTGTTAATTATTTACAGATGGAACCAATAACCGTTCAATCAATCACGTTTTTTCCTCGTGAAAACGCAAAGGAAAATTACACGGACGAATACGATCTAGTAACCAAGACCGAAACTCCCACCGCTATCTTTCGTAGAGGACAAACTATTCACTTTGACATCAAATTCGATCGACCCTTCAACGAGCAAAGAGACACTGTGAGGGTCGGATTTTCATTGGGTAGGTACAATTGCGGCTTGAACAAGTATGAGTACCTGCGTTGTTTTTAGGACCAACTCCGAACGTTACAAAGGGAACTCGAGTAATTCTACCGCTCCTGCACTTGCAGACGGAGTGTCCCAAGGCGAACAGGTGGAGTTTGGGATTTAGAGGAAAAACTGGGAATGTGGTCCACTTGCACGCTCACATTCCGGCGTCTGTACCTGTTGGTATTTGGAATTGTTCGGTTCAAACGAATATTGCCGGTTCGCGAGATAAAAGAAGTGACTATAAGGTGAGTTCGCTGAATAACTTACGTAGCTGATGAAGGCATTCATTTAGAGCGATGAAGAAATCTATATCATATTCAACCCTTGGTGCCGAGAGGACCCCGTCTACATGCCCAAAGCAGAAGATCTAAATGAGTACATTCTGAACGAAGTCGGTAAAGTTTGGGTAGGCTCGTTTAATCATCCCAAAGGGAAGAAATGGATATTTGGACAGTTTGACGAAATGGTTCTACCTGCCGCCATTTTACTGTTGGAAAAGTCGAATCTGGCCCATTCCGACCGAGGATCTCCGGTTTTGGTAGCAAGAGCCATTTCGGCGATGGTGCGTGTCTTAGAAATTTGGGACAATTATGATACGAGTAATTTTAGATTAACTCAAACGATGACGACGGCTTGCTCGTGGGGAAGTGGGACGGAGATTATTCCGACGGTACATCGCCGTTTGATTGGACTGGGTCGACTGCAATCCTGGATGAGTATCTGATTCACGGTGGAGTCCCAGTCAAATACGGGCAGTGTTGGGTTTATTCGGCTGCAATTGTAACGGTCTGTCGAACCTTGGGCATTCCTTGTAGATCTGTAACGAATTATGTTTCGGCGCATGACACCAATCGTTCCCTTACAATTGATAAGTAATTAACTCCTCATGATGGAGGTATACACTTTAATTTGTCAATGTTACAGATACTTTGACATCTTCGGAGAGCTTATCGAAAACGGGCCGCAAGGAGATTGCAACGATTCGTGTTGGAATTTCCACGTATGGAACGACGTTTGGATGGCACGTCCCGATCTTCCCAGAGGTTATGGTGGTTGGCAAATCATAGATGGAACGCCTCAGGAGCTTAGCGGCAATGTATTTTGCTGCGGACCTGCATCCGCTGAAGCAGTCAAACGAGGCGAGGTTGGATTTTTGTACGACACCCCATTTGTATTTTCTGAAGTAAACGCAGACGTATGTCACTATCAAGAGGATGACGAATCTGAATGGGGATTTTCGAGATTATCCATAAACCGCTATCAGTAAGTAATTTTACCTCTTAAAACTCTACGTTTCAATCGGCCCTTTTATAGTGTCGGTCGCAAGATATTGACAAAGCATCCTCAGAAAAATGACGATCTGGGTGATTCGGATATATGGGATGTTACTGACGTGTATAAAAACCCGGAGGGATCTGAAGGAGAGCGACAAGCTGTTGCAAACGCAATTAGAGGCGTTCCACGAGCTCAAGAGCATTACAGCGTTCCCCCAAAAACCGCCGAAGACGTGTCGTTTGATTTGATTGACATTGAATCTGTACCGTTCGGAAAAGATTTCGACGTAGCAGTCGATATCAAAAATAATTCTACAGGAGTACGAAACATCACGGCGGTTTTAACCGCTTCATCGATTTACTATACCGGCACAACTGCCGCACGGCTTAAAGCAGCACGAGCAAATTTTGCACTAAAACCTGGTCAAAAAGATTTAATAAAGTTGCGCGTGCCTTTCTCGGACTACGTCAACAAATTAGTGGACCACAGCTTGGTCAAGCTGTACGCAATTGCTAACGTCAAAGAAACCAAGCAATCGTGGTGCGAGGAAGACGACTTTGTACTTACGAAACCCACGATGAAGATCGACGTCAAAGAACGCGGAAGATTGGGAGAAGATATGAACGCGACCTTCAGGTAAACTGGCTTGTTCCCATCGGATATTTCATATAGGTGTGTTACAGTTTTACAAATCCAATCGACCTCACGCTAACCAACTGCAAGTACACCGTAGAAGGTCATGGTTTAATCAGACCGAAAACCGTAGATTTTCGGGATGTTAAAGGAAAGGAAACTGTTGTATTTGCGGAAACCTTGACACCCACTTTGAACAAACAGCGAACACTCGTTGCCAGTTTTTCATCAAAACAGATGCAGGGTGTCCAAGGCAGTACCACTATTATAGTAGAATAGAGCACTTCCAGATGTTATTTGGACAGCTAATGTGACTATTGTTATGATTAAACCATTACGAAATATCCGGAAGTAATTAATGTGCAAAATTTCTTCAATTTAACCACACACAATTGATAAAAGAAGGGGTTTCGTATCATGTATGATCGTCATTGGTTTTCGTGTTAATTTTTTTCGGATTAGTTTGATATTGCTATTTTTGTCGCAATAAAAAAGCGTTTATGTGGTCAATAAAAAACCTATTTTAAGAAATTACATCCTGGGTACACTCGCATATAATTTAATCACAAAATTTAGCAATTACATATTGCATAACAGGTACTTGGTATTTTCATAATGAAATATTCATACAAGTGTTGAGTGATTTGCTAACAATTATCCAAATTAATAGCCTCTTCCTTATACAACCTACTGTCATTTAGTTTGTCATATACACGTACCTACATTGTGCCAAAGACTATTCTCCCAGAACTGCTACCTCCGAGGAGAAAAATGAGACATTCTGCTTGCGATAGAAGTAAATTCCAAACTATCTACCAATTAGCTTGCTTTGGAGCATGAGATTGGTCAAAAATGTGTAGTTACGAACTATTCTTTATACCGAAAAAATGCATCCATACAAAGTTAATGTTGTATTGAAGCTTTTTTGGCGTTTAATGTGATCGAAGGCTAGAATTTTACGAAAGAATGACTGGAAACCTTCATTTTTCAAACAATATTGTGGGCTCGAAAATTACCGTTACTGGGCCCGAAATAACCCTGCAGACAGGCTGGAATGTTTGCGAGGCATGTGATTGGACCTTCTTTTATCGAAGGAAATTTGAACGGTTATCGATATCTCCAGTTTCTTCAGCAAGAAATAGTTCCAGCCATAAACAATTTCACTGCCGATATTTTAAATACCCAAAAACATGTTTGCGATCATTTGTATCGTTGCACTTGCAGTTGTTAAATGGGAACCATTTTCAAGACTTAAAAATAGAGCCGTTTTGCCATAGTTTGTTATGTTATTGAATTGTTTCTTGAAATTTATTTTGTAACAGATCAAAATGTAATATCATCTAAGAAACGAATGAATGTACGTATGACATATGTTTAATAAAAAATGTTTATTTGTTACTCAGTTGTAAACGTTGATTAACAAGACTAAAAAAAAAAACTAACGGCTCGCCAGTCAACTTCTCCTATCGCCAGTAAAAACTCACTTACCTGGCTAATAATGTAAAATACTATTAAAATTGACAATCAAAATAAGTAATACTATACACAGCCTGTTTAAAATTGACAATTAAAATAAGTAATAATATACAGGGTGTTCCAATTTAAAAAAAAAAATTATCAATCTCCACAACTTTGTAGGCAACTCTTCAATTTATCACGATAGGTAACCCTAAAACTTTTGTATAAGACATTTTTTGATAATCCCTGTATATTTCGAAATATTCGACAGTTCTGGTAATTTTTCCCAACCCTGTATGTACCTCCTCAACTCGTATTATTATCGCAGGCTGTACAGGGTTGCCAAAGTTGGTCGTTAGTATGGGGTCAACTCTTAAAGTACAAGTGAAAAAAAATAACCTCGCAGTCTCGATATCTTTTTTTGAGATAAGCCCATGCTGAAAACCAAACTGACCTACAGTCTTTTGTTTTTAGTTACGAGCAGAGGTTGCATTTTTCGATTTTTAAAGGATATGCCAACTGCCACTGCTGATCACGTGCGTAGACCAAGTATCGGTGAACTGAGAGGTCGGATCTAAGGAGAGTTGCTGCGCGGGAGGAGGCAAAATTTCAATTTGTCGAAGCGAAAAACCTCCCAAAACTAGTATGGGCACATGTTTAGATCGGATTCTACGGTGGCCTTCTTCGAAATAAAAATATTTATAAGAACATTTGGCGAACTGATAAAACCGTAAAATTCTTGGAAGCTGACTGGGTCACTGGGTCAACTGGGTCACCTGGGTCACTAAATTACACTGGGTCGCTGGGTCACGTCATACTCTTTTCAGTTAGACCCAGTGACCCAGTTAGATCCTGACCCAGTTTGACCCAGTGACCCAGGTTGACCCAGCGACCCAATTTAACCCGGAGACCCAATTCGACCCAGTAACCTAGTTTGATCGAATAACGCAGTTAAGTCAGTGCCCTCGGTTTAAGTGTACAGATTATGAAATAAATGAAATGCTGGTTTGTTGAAAATAATACTCGATTGCTTGACAACTGCGATTTCTGTGATGTTTGCTTTAATACTGCCCTAAAAAACTTTCCATGTCCCGAATTGTATTAGAATAATGTTATTTCTAAACAGTTCCCTCCTTCGTTTCTTTGCTTCAGGGCTTACCAGTTTGCTTAGGTGCTCATTCACATTTAATTTTTTTCTACTAGTTAGCTTAATCCAAATAAATCTTTTCTCTAAATACTTTCATTGACTACTGGAGTACAAACTATAAACAAATGCATTTGATTTTTTTAGGTATTAGTTCTCTTGAATGAAATTGGGCTACGTGCTTGTTGGCGAATATTATTGAGGAAGTTTTTTTTTAAATTAAAAGTTACGTGAAATTGTTTTGGATGATACCTAACAATAATTTAATTACTGGGCCACCGGGTCAAGACGGGTCACTGAGTAAAGCTGGGTCAAGATGAGTCACTGGGTCCAGCTGGGTCACCGGGTCAAGCTGGGCTACAGGGTCAAACTGGGTCACCGGGTCAAGCTGGGTCACCGGGTCAAGTAGGTCACCGGGTCAAACTGGATCACTGAGTCAAGCTGGGTCACCGGGTCAAGCTGGGTCAACTGGGTCACTGGGTCAGTAAACTAACTGGGTCACCGGGTCACTGGGTTACTCTATGCTTGACCCAGTCCAACTCTGCTTGGAAGTAGTCACATTTGGGGAGGTTCCCATGCTATGTATATTGAACTCTCTTACTCAACTAGTATTTTGTACGAAACCTTCTGCTATCTTAATTGGAGGTGGTTTCGTCTTCCCGGTATGTGGCCATCTTTGACTTTGAAATTTCCTCACAACAGGCAATGGAGGTGGAGAAGACTTACATCTTTGTCGTACAACACCCGACCTGTGAAATTATTGACGATTTACCTAGATAAAACTGGAAGTCTACATTATATTGTAAATCGCAGTCTTTGGACCGGAGGGCGTTCTCAGAAGAAATAACATTTTCTCTGGGGAATTGGCAATTTATCCTCCAAGGTAAGTAAATGGAGATGGTTTGAATTTAAATGATGAATAATTATTGACTGATAGTTTTGTTCTTAAATAGGTATACAAAAAAATGCACCCACGCAAAATTTCATAAAATCCTGAGCTTATGCTATTTATATGGTTCGACCAAGAATTGTATTTGGGTTTTTTTGGAATTTTTAAAAACTAAATTTGGATTTGGAGGGGGTAGGCGAGTGGTTAAGAACACCAGCCTACAACATGAAGGTGTCGGGTTCGATGCCTGGGCCCGTCAACAGAATTCGTCGACTCAGCATGCTACAAAATGAGTTCCTGGGATTCACCCTGGGGTTATAATAGGCGAGGAGCGTAGTGCTTCCCCCATGTAAGGGGAGTCCACTAGAGCAGTTTATTTAATTTAAATTTTTTTAATTTTTTCAATGTTATGTGGGCGAGAATTTAATTTGATTTTAATAGTTAAAACGGTTTGAATTTCTTTGGGGTTGCGAGTTTTTTTAAATTAGAACCCATAAGATTTAAAGGAGAGTATCATTTTTTGGCAACATTCGTAAAAAAAGTTTTGGGTTGTATTACTGCCGCGTAAATTTTCATATGTCGAGTAGGTTTAAAAAATTAAATTCGGGCGGATTTTGATACCAGTGGTTATTGATACCACACCGCTGCGTTAGAAATTCACAAGATTTGTCGCATTGCGTACCTTCCGTTGCGGTTTTCCTAGCCGGCACCACAGTTTCGGGACAGAGATGGTAGATTTTGTTTGGTTAGAGAACGCGAAGGGGGCTCCCCAAGTTTGGACGCGAGCAAAGGAGTTTATGGTTCCGTTTAGGATTTTCTCGCGGGCCATTGGTGACAAGAAGAAGAGCGGCCAGCTCGAGCGTAAATATCGTCTACAAAATTTGAGCATTTGAGCAAAAATTTGAGTTTTTAACCCCAAAAAAAATGTAAGTGTTGTTTTTATAAGCAAACCGTTTTTATTGCGGAGGTTGTATTTTATATCTTTTGCAGAGCGAAATTTTTGATACCAGTGAATTGAGTGAATTGTCTTTTGTGCAGGAGCCAAGTGAATTACTCAGAAGGTGCAAATGTTTTGTATTTGGAGACATTAGCACGTAGACTTTAACGCCGGAAAATATAATTCCTTTGTAAACATTAAATTAGAAGAAATTTGAGGTGGGTTACATAAAAATAATCTATGTAATGGATAGGTATGTATGTACCGTGTGTCCTATTTTGGTCGAGACTGCAGTGTATCTCAGCTGTTTTTAAAGATTGAGATTTACGGTTTTGGCGGCCCTGTGCCATTTTTTGTGAAGCTCAATACCACAAACAGAATCAAAGCTACGTTTGTTTCTGAGATACAGGATGAAAACGAAAAGTTTGCTTTTTACCACCCGCACGTTAGTAAGGGAGGTATTGCATTGAGGTAAAAAATGACCCTCACCAGGAATCGAATCAAACAAAATCTAGATGATGTCGGTCTGTCGGTCGGTATGTTTATCGAGATTGATAATCAATACATAATTCATAATAGACCATAAATAGAATGTCAATTTTGGCACATTTGTATACCAGATTTAGCAACTCTTGGTTCAATTGGGAATAATCTTCAGTTTAATAACCCCGACCACCAAATCTTTAAAATAGTTAAATCAAAGCGACGATTTTCATTTTTTAATTGCTATGCGTGCACATATCTCTCGACATATCTAGAGAAAGGGCGTTTCACACGTTTCCCAGGGTCGTTTTTTAAGGGCCCGAATTTCTAAAAGTGAACTATTTATTAACATTTTCCAAAAAATTTTTCATTTGAATAACGTATTTATTATTCATATACCAAGGACTGAAGTATAAATGCATAATACTTCGTGAAAATAAGTAGCAGCAAACAGCAAGTAGCAGTGAGTGAATAACAATGTACAGGTACACCTACTAAGCTTTTACAGGTAAGTATCCGATAAAAAGGTGATGGCGTCAACGTAGAATAATTTGAGATATACATAAATTGATAAATCCGGTGTCCGGCGTGTAAAATTATAACATACCTAATCTTGATGAATGGGTTTATTATACTGGAAATGCGCTCACCGTCATGTGACCACGGTTGCTAAACTTCAAAGTATGCAATACTAGTTAATGACTAATATTGACCAAATACCTCGCTTTAAACACATTACAAGTCTTGACCAAACGTAAGATCCCACTCAACGTTTATATATGGCTACATGACCAACAAACCCAGTCGCGAAGCAGCCTCTTTAATATCAAGATCGTTCTACATTTACACTTTAATTAATATACCAATACTGACCTATTTCAAAGGAACCGAAAAAGGAAAGTGTTTTTCCAAACACGATGGGTGTCAAAGAGTGTGATGGTTGTTTTTCGTGTTTTCGTGCCAAATTTTCACCAAACGATGAGGTGCCTCTACATGTGCTACCGAAACCCAAAGAAGCAGGTGAGAATTACTCCTACTATGAAGTCGAGAGTTGCGGAGGAAAATGATTTATAACAAATGTCCTGTTTTTCTGCTTTAACATTTTATAATAAGTTTGGATAGTAACGTCGTGCTCGTGGTTTTAGCACGGGTAATCCATAGAACCCTTTCAATATATCCCCTGAACTGCAGTCCTTATAATAAGGGCCTTACATTTTCTACTACATAAAAACATTATTTATTCAATGATAGAACAAAGGTTTTTATTATAACGGGAATAAAGGTATTTAGATGGGAATGAACTCTCATATTAAACACGTACACGCTTACATTGTATCCTTAATTGTCATGTCTCCTATTAATTTCATGAATGAATGACGCCAATGTTAATTTCGTGCACCTAGCAGAGCAGTCGAAAAGAGTGTGATCACTGTACAAAAATGCAGAGTGTACGAGACGTTAACGTAATTTATATTTATAGCCAATAAAATGTACAAAAAATCTTAGTAACAACATAAATATAACCTTGACTTACTAATCATTGGAAATCATCGCTTCTTTCTGTATACTTACCTGTTTATTTACCAGTCAACAGCATAATTGAGATATGCATTTCACACCTGAAAATGTGTCGTCTCAAAATGCATTTTTAACAATTCAAACTGTCAAACAAAAGCGATGTCTGAGTATTTTTCAAAAAAATTGGCGCCCTTGAAGACGCTCTCTGTGTAATGTCAAGAATTTTAATTGCAAGTTGTAATGACATTATTTCTTTTTACATGTGTTTTTGCGAAATCTTATGTAAGAAGGTGACGCATTTTCAAATACGACAGTCGCACCTATAGCTTCCATGTTTAGTTAGGTCCGGTTACCCATTCACTATAGGTATTTTGTAGAAATTTTATTAGAATGAATATAAAAAGGTATAGCTACGGTTTACGTTTCGAGGGCGCAGTACCTACTATTTGCAGAAGTAGGTAACGCTATTTATTAGTCCATGCTAAATAGCAAAATAATTTACTTAAAAAAAGTTACTTTTCGATCCAAACCGGGTTTTTCATGCAGTTGAGGGTGACAAGATTAGAAATTGGGGAAAAATAATCAAAACAGCTGAATTTTTCCGCGGGAGAAATCGCTAGGGGTTGAAAGGGGTGTTTGTGGCAAAACCATTAATTTTCGAGTTAATTTTAGATGAAAATGTTCGAAGTAAAAAAGTTGTAGGAAATAATGAAATGAATAACTTTTGTACCTATCTACACTTTTTTCACATTACCTCAAATTTTCCGAGAAAAATGGGAAAATCTGTTTTTTTTTGTTTTCAATGCTTATTTTTACGAATAATTATTTTGAAAAAAATTTAAAGGATCTTTAATAGTTTTGAAAATTTCGATATACGATATATATAAATGAGAAGAGTACTTTGGAAAAATAAATCGTTCTTTTGTTGTAAACAATGCGTTGGCATGGAAATAGCGCGTTCGCAACCTCCAGATGCAATATGGTGCTTAAGAATATTATGTTGTATTTTCATACTTCAATTCAATTATATGTCAGTTTGGCATCATGGCTATGGGGAGCAAGGATAGCGTTATCGAAGAACGAATTAGTAAGAGAGCCATGTATTCCATAAGACCCCATCCTGCCTCTGGAGGTGAGAACGCGCTGTAGTTGTGTAGAGATAATTCGATTTTTATCTGAACAAAATTAAACCTTCCTTTTGCAAGAAAATCATAATCCAATTTAGAACAAAATACTTAAAAAATGCATAAGAATAAATAATATTTAACCAATGTGACATGACATGTGTTCAAAAAACTAAATTTGAGCCTGTGCCACTCTCTTCTTGAGATTTGTTATGGCCGACGCTATGGCTCTTGATATATCCCATATCGACGAAAAATAAAAATTACCTTTGAACTTCACGACGCAACCTTTTGAGCTCAAGATTTTATTTTTCATAAAACAACAAAAGACATGGATATTGACGAGGATATTGATATTAATAAAAGAAATGTTGAAATTTATTTTTAAATTTGCGGGTATACCAAAAGCTCGACCAAAAGCTTAACAAAACATGTAAAAACAGTTTTGAATGCACCTTTTAATTCTGAACAACTTTGAACTCTACAGTTTTTTCCGTAAAATGTACAGAAGGGCAGGATATAGCATGAAACTAATTTCCCATGTTAAATCCCTATGTTCCTACTTACCGTGCACCACCCTGTATACGAAAGGGGCTAATTCTTTCGGATATTTTATAATTAAAACTTCATACAGGTACTAAAACGCTTCGTTACCGATCTACGGGGTGTTGAGATTTCAAGATTTCTTCTTTTTAAGATACTTCTCTCAAATTTGAAATATAAGTTATGCTGAAGGGCTTATATCATTGGTCTTGTCAATGGTGGTGAGAATCTACAGGGTGCTGTGTTTTCAAGGATCACGTTCCGTTTTCGACTCCTGAACTTTATTTTAGTGCGCCACTGGTAGATTGTGAGACAAGAATTTAATTTTCTGATTTGTTTCGACACTTTTTGGTTTCTGATAATTTTACGTAACTGTTATCGAGAAAAGAAAATTTCGGTAGTTAGCTAAATGAAAGTATAAGTTTTAAAATGGACCAGAGTAGGCCCTGGTTTTACTTGGATAATATCGTGTATTTATTAGTTTTGGCAGTTGGAATTGAAAATTGTATTTTGTGTTTGCCCGTTAATTGTAAAGGTACGGTAGAACTATAACACCCTGTAGCTCAGTAACGAAGCGTCTGCGGACCTGTTTATTTGGACTTTTAGTCATAGAATACACCAAAGTATTGACCGAGAAGAAATACTTGGAAGTTGAAGTTCAAAGGTACATTCGGATTTTAAGAGCAATCAATTTGTAGTCGGTGCACTTAATTAGTACAAATACTAATTACATTTTGTATCGGAATGATGTGGAGTTCTGTAACCGATGTTGTAATAAAGGAGCAATAAGTTTCGAATTAGGACACTATAAACTAGCACTTACTTAATTAGTTCTAAAATTATTGCTATTTGATCCATTCCCACACTGTACACATCGTTTCGTCATCACTCATCTTTCATTTGTGTGGGTGTATTCTCAACTACTATATCATGCAATAAACGTAGTCAATGGTACTATCAGCAATAACGCCCAGTACTGCTAGTTATCGCTGTATTTCAATACTGCTGGAATGCAATGCAATGACATTCCATGTACCGAATGCCACAGTGGATAACCCTTCGTTTGGTGGACCAACTTTTAGTAACGGAAATGTGTTACAAATGTCGAATGCCTCCGACTTAGTGTGGAATTTTGTCATTCGAAGTGGAAACGTGGTGTCGGTCTGATGTCTTCATAATAACTTTTACTATTCATGGATGTCCAACGTCTGCTAAAAGTAAAATTCTTTTGGAATGAAATCCCAATATTTTGCATCGAATTAATAGCGAAAAAAAAAAACGTTTTGCATAACAACTTCTACTTCAAACTATGTGGATCAGATGATGACCTGAAGAATGTGACCAAACAATCATGAATTCACTAAAATACCCTAATTGTTGTATTTGGGTCCAGCTGCCACTGTTTAAAATAGATGCATATACGCAACAACTTGAGATTAAAAATCAATAGCTTTTTACAAGAATTAGTATACATTAAAAGTATTTATAACAAACTTTTGCCCGGCGTTACAGAAATATCGATGAGGCTAAGGCTACAATGTTTTGTAAATTGTATTTTTAAGTACCCCTTTGTGAGCTACTTTAGTACAGAAAGAAATCTTCGATTGAGTACACAAAGTCGGCGCATAAATTTGCGTTGATTAAATTAAACTAACTTTCATTTTTTAACAAAGAGAAATAACGAGAAAAATGATCAAAACCGCACCTCATCAACGCCCTTGGCAACCCAAATCTTCCGAAGGTTAACTAATATAATTCCTTAATTGTGAAAAATTGCACCAATTATGTAATTATGTAATTTATTTTCAGACGAAAATGCTGTGCAAGAATTGAAGCAGGCCGATATATTGATCGTCCGAAAAATTGACCCCTGTATCAAATTGAATGGCGAAGCCCATCATACCTCGAAGTATGAGTTAATGAATAGATCAATTGAACCCGACCTCGTTGTCAGAAGGGGTCAACCGTTTACTATTATATTGGCACTTAATCGACCTTATAATGAGGCTAAAGATGCAATTTCTTTTATTTTTAACGTCTCAGGTGAGTACCTCCCTTTCAGTTACTCTGGCTAATCATACCTAAATTTTAGATGAGGAGTCTAGTTTTGGTCATGGAACTTTGATTTGCGTGCCGATGATCAAGCAGTTTAATAGGCACTTCCCCTGGAACGTCATTTGCAGTTCGGTGGAGGATAATACCGTTACAGTACAGATAACTCCCGCTTCCGATTGTGTTGTTGCAAAATGGCGCATGGAAGTAGATACCAAAATTATAGACGGCGAGGCTTACAGTTACAGCTGGGAGACGGGAATTTACATCCTGTTCAACCCCTGGTGTAAGATCGACCAGGTGTTCCTAAAACATGAAGAATGGAGAGAGGAAACTGTGCTAAATGATGTGGGTTTAATATACAGGGGCACGTTCAATCGTATACGCCCGTGTATTTGGAAGTACCACCAGTTCGAGAAAGACGTGCTGGAATGCTCTCTTTACCTAATTAAGCATATCGGTAAAATCCACGGCAGCTTTAGGGCCGACCCCGTATTCATAGCCAGAGCTCTATCGGCCGCGGTGAATTCCGTCGACGACAATGGGGCAGTCATGGGAAATTGGAGTGAGGATTTCTCAGACGGAACTGCACCGACTCAGTGGATTGGGAGCATGGAAATCCTTCAAAAGTATTATAAGAAGAAGAAGCCGGTGAAGTACGGGCAATGCTGGGTGTTCTCTGGAGTACTTACGACTAGTAATGGTTTCCGTTAGTTTGATCCACGAGCTAATGTGATGAATTTTAGTATGTCGAGCTGTTGGTATACCTTGCCGTCCAGTTACCAACTACAAGTCGGCCCATGACACTCAAAACTCGTTAACTTTAGACTACTTTATGGATGCAAACGGTAAAGTGATCGAAGACATGAATTCTGATTCCATCTGGAACTTTCATGTCTGGAATGAGGTGTGGATGCAAAGACCTGATTTAGGGAAATCGTATACGGGTTGGCAAGCGATTGATGCTACTCCACAAGAACAAAGCGATGACATGTACAGAGTGGGCCCATCGTCGGTCGTCGCCGTTAAGCTTGGCGAAGTTAAACGTCCATACGACACCGGCTTCCTTTTCGCCGAAGTTAACGCAGATAAGGTAACTACACGCTTACTCTCCTTCCGCAACTGACCCCAATTTTCAGGTCTATTGGAGATATACCGGTCCAAACGAACCCCTGAAGCTGCTAGGTAAAGATATCCACAGTATCGGAAAGCTAATCATTACCAAAAGTCCCGGACGATGGGATTACGAAGACATCACTCGAGTTTACAAATACCCCGAGAACGCCGCCGAAGAACGCGCCACAATGTTCAAAGCTCTACGCCAATCTGAAAACATGTTCGCTCGCTATTACTTGAATGACGATTTTAATGACATCGACTTCAGTTTGGAAATGAGAGACGACATTAAAATAGGCCAACCGTTCGCGGTGACGCTAGTAATGAGGAACGTGAGCAAGTCCAAGGATTATACGGTGATGGTAACTTTGAGAATTGATGCCATTACCTACACCGGTAAAGTTGGCGAATGCATAAAGCAGGACAGATTCAAAGTGCTGGTGAAAGCTGAATCGTCGACGGAACTACAAACCAGCGCAGCTTATCACGAATACAGCAAAAAGCTGATGGACCAAGCCGCTTTCAACGTCGGCTGTCTGGCGTCAGTCGAAGATACCAACTTTGAATACTACACGCAAGATGAATTTCGCGTACGCAAACCGGACATAAAGATAGTGTTGCTGGGGCCACCAAAACAGAATCAAGAGGTACGCGTCGACGTATACGTGGAAAACCCTCTACCGGTACCGTTGAAGAAATGCGAATTTACAATTGATGCCCCAGGGTTTGAAAAGAAACTAACACTGAGAGTCAAAGGCGTCGTGGCGCCGGGAAAGAAGGCGCTGGTGGAATTCAAGTTTATTCCACTTAAATCGGGAGATCAAACGATTGCGGCGACGTTTAAATCCTCGGATTTGGAAGATGTCGACGGATTTCTAAATTTCAACGTAGAGGCCGCCAAATTAGATAACGGGCAGAGCTAGTCGTGGGTACCAAATACCTTTTTTTTAAATTTAGTATTTGTACATATTTAAAGCGTGAATTTATTATTTATAAACATTTATTAAATTTTATTAAATTATGCAATTTTACATTTTTTTTAGTAAGTGCAGCAAGTCAGCCCAACATCAACAACTAACAAGTACTGGACAAAAACAAGCAACTGTATAAAAGAAAGTCGTGGGTCGGGCGCTACCTAGTGAAAAGAAATTTTCATTAAATGATATGAAATGTTCATCAAATGAGATGAAATTTTCATGAAATGAAATAAAATGCATGGTGGTATACAGGGTGTTAAATATAAGTATGTAAAAAAAATTGGGTGGTAGAGGGGATCAAAACAAGCATTTTTTCCAATTAAACCGAGGGTCCAAGGTGTTTCGCTTGTGAGTCGCTCCCACAAAAGTGGTGAAATTTGCATTCTTCTTTAATTTTTTTCTCAGCAACCATAAGAGTTAGAAATACTAGTGGCACCTTTTTAAAATAGGTTTTTGTGTATGCAATTTACGATTTTGCCAAATTCCTACCACGAAAGGGCGCGCCCCTAAATGAGGGTGCGAAAAAAATTCTGGTTTCGACGAAATTTGGCATCTGGGGGTTTTTGAACATGAAAATCACGAATATGAATTTTTGAAAATTCGAAAAAAAATTCCACTGCAATTCTTGGGCCGTTTGGGCGGACAATGAAAATGCGGATTCCACGAAATTCGTTGTGTACACAGTTGATGAGTAAGGAACAAAATTGTCCAACAGTTTTTTAAAATCACGTTTCAAACAAAAGTTATAGTCATTTGAAGATTGGACCTTCAGGTTACAAAGTGTCCTCCGTCTACTATTGCGTGATCTAATTTCGTGTTCACTCGTGAAATAACATGAAATATTCCTGATGTGAAATAAAATGTTCATTCAATGAGAATGAAATTTTCATGAAATGAGATCAAATTTTTATAAAATTAAATGAAATGTTTATGAAATGAAGAAATGTTCATGAGATAAAATAATGATAATGAAGTGAAGTAAAACGTTCATGAAATGAAGTGATATCTTTATAAAAAGAAATGAAATGCAATGGAATGTTCATAATATCCTATATCCAATGACATTTTTATGAAATGTTCACAATATGTAATGTAATGAATTGTTTATGAAATGCAATGAAATGAAATGAAATATTCATAAACAAGTACAAATTGTGCACAACCCCTGTGCAGATAAAGCGCATTTTTTTTAAACACACCTACGAAATTTCTTCCGTAAATAGGACAGTTGGCACTGCACATCCTACACAAAACCAAATTTGGATAATGGCGCTACATTTGCTTTTACTCCAAGTGGCTATGTATCATAATTTCGTTTTAATGCCTCCATAAATAAGAAAGTTGGCACTGCGCATGCGCAAAACCAAATTTTAAACCTGATCTTAGCTTTGCTTTTATTCCAAGTGACTATGTATCAAATTTCATTTAAATCCCTCCATAAATAAGAAAGTTGGCACTGCGCATGCGCAAAACGAAATTTTGAAACTAACGTTAAATTTGGTTTGATTCAAAGTGGCTATGTATCAAATTTTATTTAAATGCCCAATGGTTATATTTCTTCCAAACGTCCCAATCGCCCTTTGTAGGTACTTTCCTTTGATAATTCACTCTTAAGATATAAGGAATTATAACCGATCACGACAAAGGATCGAGGAGGAAGACTATGGTTAGTATAAATTAATTCCTTTCGTTGAGACCTTTAATATTTATGAAATACAATGAAATGTTCGTGAAATGCAATAAAATATTAATGAAATGCAATGAAATATTTATGAAAAACAATGAAATTTTCATATGATGTAATAAATGTTCATGAAATGCAATATGTTCATAAAATGCAATGAAATGTTCATGATATGAAATGAAATGTTCATGATATGAAATGAAATGTTCATGAAATGCAATGTTCATGCAGTGCAATGAAATCGATCGATCCGCTCGCGAGCACTTTTCGGAGCGGCCGCTTGGTGCTGGATATTCGAGCGTTTACTTAAGTGCTTTTTCCGCTCGCGAGCGGTTTTTCCGCTCCTGAGCGTTTCTTTTCGGTCGTGAGCCCCTTTATCCGCCTTCAAGCGCCGCTCACGAGCGTTTTTTCCTCTCCCGAGCGGTATTTTTCCGCTCCCGAACGGTCTTTTTCGCTCCCGAGCGCTTTTTCCGCTCCCAAACGCCTCTTCCGCTCTTGGCCGTTTTTCCCGCTCACGAGCACATTTCCCGAGCGCTCGCGATAAACCGCTCGAGCACTTTTAGGAGTGCTCGGAATTCGCAAGCGGTCTCGCTTTGCAAACAACTCGATGCTCGCGAGCATTTTTGAGAAAATTAGAGCGCCCGAGCGGTTTTTTAGAACGCTCGACCCAGCTCTGAATGAAATGAAATGCGTTCATTGTCTGAAAGGTGTCAGTTTGTTTCCTGCTTAAATACAAATTCTACTAACGTGTCAAATAGCATTATTGGAAAATTTCCGGTCACGATGGGAGTCCCTCAAGGGTTTGTACTTGGCCCGGTATTATTTATTTTATATATCAATCATATAAGTGAAGTAACAATAAGCGCACTATGCATCCAAAATATCCTCAAACTGGGTTTAAAGAATTTGAAAAATTCGAAAGTAAACATTCAAAGACTATAAGAAGAATTGATATAAGTCTAAATAACGGAAAAGCTCAAGAAAGTCGGTAGAATACGGATAGTCCATAGAACAGTGGGGAAAAATGCGAAGAAACGGAAGAATCCAAAGAATCACAGTTGAAGCAATGTGTAGAAACTAAACGAACGAAGGGAATTTGACGCAAAGTATAAATCTGGAGAACGTGAAGCATTTGAAGAATTGAAAAAATTCGGGGAAGAGGAAGAATCCGATGAATCATACGAATAATTTGAGAGACCTGATACATGTGGAAAATTTGAAGGGTTCCAATAATAATTCGCAGAATCTTAAGTTAAGAACAACAAATATTGACATCCTTCCTAGCGCAAACCAGATATTAACAAAAAAGTTTTTGAAAGTTTTACGTCATTTATGCCTGATGTACACTGCCAAAATTTTAACGGAATCAAAATAGCCGTTTTGTCGAAAAAAAATTTAGGTTTTTAACTTTGGGAATTTTTTCTCAGTTTTTGTGTAATAGAATCGAGCATAATTTTTGTAGGTTGTACACAGAAGAAAAAAGTCTTTCGAATATCAATTTTGCTTTGCTAGATGAAATAAAAGGTACATACGGTGTCGTTGCGGCGCTCCAAAACTTTTTTCAAAAACCCGGTCCGTTATTTTTCGTATTCGCATGCCTAATTATAGGTACATATACAAAATTTAAACAAAATCCTACGAGCCGTTATCTCGGAAATACGTATGTAGGTACATACAGACGGAAAAAAATTATTCTTTAGAAATCGCTTGTTGACCGTTACAAACGGGCTTTAAGTGACAGGAATTAATAATAAATAAAACAAGTTAAAAAGTAATCGTAAACGATTTACATAAAGCGCATTTCCACTTGCATTCATTTCCCATTTGTAAGGTGCAACTTCTGTTAAAATCGTAAAAATCCGGCCACAAATATGAAAGATAGCGTTGCACATGGGCAATCCATTTTCGACATGCTATTTCAATTTCAGTTTATGAGAAGAATTTCATTTCAATGCTTTTCTAAATAAGAAAGTTGGAACTGCGCATGCGCAAACCTAAATTTTGAAACTAATGTTAGATTTTCCTTTGTTCCAAGCGCCTAAGTATCAAATTTCACTTAAATGCTTCCATAGATAAAAAAGTTGGCACTGCGCATGCGCAAAACCAAATTTTGAAACTGGCGTTTGATTTTCCTTTATTCCACGTGCCTATGTATCAAATTTCATTTAAATTCTTCCATAAATAGAACAGTTGGCACTGCGCATGCGCAAAACCAAATTTTGAAATTGGCGTTTGATTTTCCTTTATTCCAAGTGCCTATGTATCAAATTTCAATTTAAATTCTTCATAAACAACCAAAGTTTTGGGCACGCGCATGCGCAAAACCAAATTTTGAAATTGGCGTTTGATTTTCCTTTATCCCAAGTGCCTATGTATCAATTTTCGTTTAAATTCTTCCATAAATAAAAAAGTTGGCACTGCGCATGCGCAAAACCAAATTTTGAAATTGGCGTTTGATTTTCCTTTATTCCAAGTGCCTATGTATGTATCAAATTTCATTCAAATACTTTTATAAGTAAAAAAGTTTGCAATTCGGTTTATGGTCGAGATGCGAAAAGGGCACTGTGAATTTTGAATCGATTCTATTCAACTTTTGGCATTGCGTATTATATGGCTAAATCTATGCCCATATTGAATTTCATGCAATTCAGTTCATAACTCACGGAGATGTAAAAGCGATCGAACACTTCTAAACAAAGTTATCGTTCACACGGACAGATAGATGGACAGACAGACAAAGGAACAGACGGAGAGACCAACCGGCAGGCGACAGATAGCAATGCAAAATTATAAACGATCTCTAGGATTGTTAATAAACGGCAAAAGTGTAAAATTATGGAACATGTAAAAAACGGTTTTTTGTTTTTTTTTACAATAACTTTTTTTTGTAAGCGGTACAGAAAAAATTCCTTCCTTGGTACAAGACTCGACACCATAACGAACCAAATAGCGAAAAAAGTAGAACAATAGCTCCTAAGATAAAGAACTAGTACCGTCGCAAAGTTAGCGGACGGACGGACGGACGGATAAAGACACGACCTTAGACGAAACACTATTTTATATTTTAATAGACCTATTTGCAATGAGAAAAACTCATTATTAAATGAGAAAAATACCATAAACAAATAAAACAATTAGTTAAGACCAAATTAAATAATAAAATGCAGCACGAGTTCCTTTGATTTCTTTAGAGTTCCCTTGATTTCCTCGGAGTTCCTGTGATTTCCTTGGAATTCCTCCTGAATACACATGGAATTCCTTGGAATTCTTAGCTTTCCTAGGAGTTCCCCCGGAATTCCTATGATTTCCCATAGATTTCCTCAAACGTGTACACTGATTTCCCATCGCGGTTTACCCCTCGCGTTTTTTG